GGTTTGGGGTGCTGGGAATCTGGGAACCCTGAAATGCAAGGGCATGGGGTCTGCCTTGAAAGAATTTGACTACTGAAGCCTTCTTTCAGTCAGAGTAACAAGGTTTATTGTATAGCCAGTAGAAGCTGGCAGGATTCTAAGAATCTGTGCATTTGATGAGGATGGGAATGATATTTTTATACAGAAAAAGAGTGTGGGAAGATCTGGATGGGATTAAGGAGTGTCAAGTAAACTAATTAAGTAATCTAAGTGGTCTAGGGTGGGCCAGATGTCTCAGGCTAATGCCTGGGACTGGGCTGTGTGGGAACATCGAGGGCCTTTTAGGGGTCCATCTTCAGTGCCCTATCATCTCTGTTAATTATTTCCTATTCATACTCTTATAGCTTGTTTGTCCTCATTTGTTTGCTTATTGTCTCCCCCATTAGCTCCTTGAGGACAGTGAATGTCTTTTGCCTTTCTTTGTTGCCAGTGCCTGGCACATAGTAGGTACTTAATACTTATTGACTGACTCATTTTCTGAGCCCTACCATAGAAGTCTGGTTTCACCAGCCAGTTCTCGGGCCACTTGCTGGGAATCTTCCTTATGCGTTACTCCCTGGCAGGGTTTTTCTTGGGTGGATTCCTTCCCTGGATCCATAGTTGCATTCTCCATGTTTCTAAATCTGTGGGCTAGGAGTTTTCCCTGTGTTGCTTTCCTGGATCTAGGTTTTCTGGCCAGGACCCTTTCCTTAATGTCCATAGGCTTCTGGCTGTCTCTTTCTGTGCATCTGGGTTCAAAAAATGTACTTACTGACCTTTCTCCTTGGATTTCATAATCATTGATTTGTTGATCTTTTCCATCTTTGCTGGGGGTAGTTGTATGAGAATTCAGCCATTCTTCTGCTCACTCCATCATTTTGGGGCTGGTTTGTCACTTTCCTGGAGTTAACTTTCTTTTAGTGATTTATTTATGTTTTTGAGCATTGTGTATTCTTCTGGTTTTGCTCATCTCACTCTGTATCAGTTCTTATAAATCTTCCTGTATTTCTCAAGATTTCCTCATGTTTCCAATGTCTTACTGTAAAATAATTTATTGTTTTTGTGTATCAATTCATTAATAGACTTTTGTTTCTAGTTTTTTCCTACCACAAAATTCATTACTATAGATATTTTGCTTGGAGTATATGTCTCTAGTCATGGGATTGCTAAGTCAAAAGATATCCACAGTTTCGTAACTTTTCTCCAAAGTGGTTTCCAGAATGAATGGAGTATTTGAGAGCTCCACCCATGGCATATTCTCACATCCCCTCAGACTTTGACTATCCTGGTTTTTGATCACTTTGCTCATTTGCTGCACATGAGGTAAAATCTCAATTGTTTCGATTTAAATTTCTTTTGTTATTACTAATCTGTGACAATATTTCGAATGGTTGTTGATAGCCTTTTGTAATTCTTTTAAAGATTGTTTTCCATTTGACTATTGGAGAATGGCTCTTGGTCTTTATGTTAATTCCCTTTATGTCTTAGTTATAAGAGATTTGATGGAAAGGTATTTTTTCCTTTTTGTTGGTAGTATCCCTATCTGCATGGATTTTGTTTGTGTAAACATGTTATAATTTCATGTCCATTTTATCTTATGTGACCTCCATCCCTTTGAAGAATTCTTCCCAAATGTAGTTTGTTTTTTTTTTTTAAATTAAATTCTCCCCTTTCTACATTTCCCTCTTCTCCCTCCCATTGAGAAAGCAAGTAAAACAAAGTGAAACCCATCCCACCATCACCTTTATTGGTCTGTCTGAGCCCATCCTATGAGCTATCTAGGTCCACTTCTCACTCCCTATGACACCATTCATTGGCCAAGTCTTGCTTTTCCTACCTCCGTGACTCTTATTCAACCCTTCTCTCTACAGCCATTGGCTTAGTTGAGACCCTTAGCGCCTCTGAACTAAGTTGGTCTCCCTCAAGTCTCTCCTTACAATAGTCTATACTCCATACTGCTGCCAAAGTGATTTTTCACTCTTCTGTTTAGCTTTTAAAGCCTTGCATAACCTCTCCCCAATCTATCTTCCCAGACCCATTGGATGTTCCTATCCTTCCCCTACTTTACAATCCAGCCAAACTTGCTTCTCTCTATTCTGTCTTCCAGATGCAACATTCCATCTCTCATTCCCTTGCTTTGCAGTGACCATCCCCCATGCCTGGAATGTACCCCCTCCTTACCTGACCTTTAAGATACAGTTTAAGCCTTTCCTGATCCCTGCCCCCCACCTGCTAGTGCTTTCTCTTCCTGACAGCCTGGTGTTTAACTACTTCGTTTTAAATTTAATTTAATTTAAAATTTTATTCTACACATCCTTAGGCATCAGCATCTTCTTGTTGTGTACCCCTTCTCCACCAAGAATTGTAAACACCTTGAAAGTTGAAGTTGCTTCATTCTTTATATTTCCAGTGCCTAGAACATAGAGCTTAATAATTCCTTGTCAATTTCAAGAATCGATTGGTTGATAGATAGATGGGGCTGCAACTGCTTTGTCTTCTGGTTTCTTATATAGCAAGAATGCTCATGTTGCTGTGATTAGATTGTAAGCTACTTGAGGGCAGGGACCTTCTTTTTCCTTTTTTTGTATCCCTGACTCTTAGCCCAGTGCCTTGCACATAATAGGTCCTTAGTAAATTTTTGTCAATTGGATTGTTTCACTTTCTCCAGCACATGAGCAATTTACTGGTCAATGTGGACAATGAACTTACTTTTGGAGTTATATGAGTGGTTATGGCTGGTATGAAATCCAAGTGACTCCTAGATCTTCTTTGCATAGACCTGCCATTCTGCCCTCATCCCTGAGGGGTTGGAAGGTAGCTGCACGAGACCGATGGCCAGCCATTTGTGCTTGTTTCATTGGTCACTGTGGCCAGAGAGTTCATCCACTTGGCAGCAATGCTCACGCTGTGCCCTCCATCCTTGGCTGGGCTGGTCCTAAAGCAGGAGGCGCAGTCTAAGGCCAGGAGTGGACTCAGAGCCCATCCCATTTGATGGTGCCTTCCGGAAGTGGTACTTCTCTTCCATAGCGCTTGAGAACCCAACATCACATCCATCCATTGAAGAGCAGGATTGTTATGTTAGCTTTGTACATTGGAGATGTTGAGTAATTGTTCAGTTGGGTTGTGATTTATGGGAGAAAATTGGTGGCAAGTAAAATTACTTTCAGGAAGACCTGGGTTTGAATTCTGCCTCATTTAACTATCTGTGTCACTCTGAGCAAATCAGTCAATCTCTCAGCCTCAGTTTACTCTCTGTAAAATGGGGATAATAATAGCTCTTCTCTCATAGGGTATGCCATCAAATGAGATGATATAGGTAAAGTGTTTTTGCAAACCTTAAAGTAAAAATCATGCTGAAAAGTTTAAAATTCATGGCTTTTTAAAGGCTCCATAGCTATCAAACATGAATACTTCTGTATGGTTAGCACAATCTTTTCTTTTTATTTGACCTACATGTCATAGGCAGCTTTTAATACACATGTCCAGATCTTAAAACTCTTTGACCTTGGGGAAAAAAATATCTTTTTTACTGAAAAGCTGCTCTGGTGGGAATAGCTTAAGCCTTTCCCTTATGCAAATTAGACTAGTTTTTTCTTACATGGTACTGAAATAGACCTTGAAACTTGATTGGCCCAGAGACTAAAAGTAAAAGGTTCAGGCTCTTCATCCCTTCTTGGTCCCCAGGGTGGGAGCTCCAGGCTTGCTCTGCTGTGTGGCAGACTGGTTACTCAGTAAACACTTACTAAGTACCTACCGTGTACCCGGCACTGTTCTAACCTCTGGAGATCCAAAGACAGTCTGCCTTAAAGAGCTCATGATCTAATGGAAGAGACAACCACGTTCAGCCAAGATACTGACAGCATAAATTAGAGGTAATCAGCCCAGGGAGGGCACTAGAATTAAGAACAGGGCTCTGGCTCAGCTAATCGGCATGCATTGTCCTCGTCGCATATCCTGGTTTAACATCTTTTTCTTGCCATGACTAAATAAACCTTTTGTTCACTGTTGTTTGAATGAGTGTCTCATTTCATTCTCATATCAAACATAAAGTACCTGGGGACTAGACTGAGTCAGGCCTAGCCCAGAACAGTGGCATATACCCTAGTTAGGTTGACAGACGGTCAGGACATTATTTTTGGTTAAGGGTATCAGAACACTATGGGAAAATGTTAAGGAGGCAAAATGGACGTTATCTGAATGTCTCTAGCAAACCTCACGTGTGGTCGTTTTAAAATGGGTATTCACGAGAGTGGACCCTGGTGTCGGGCTTGTTATGACTGTTAAGGTAACTCAGTGCCATCTCTCTCCTCTTGTTTACAGACCCCAATTATCTGATGGCCAATGAGCGAATGAACCTGATGAACATGGCCAAGCTGAGTATAAAGGGGCTGATCGAGTCGGCGCTCAACCTGGGGAGAACCCTCGACTCCGACTATGCCCCTCTCCAGCAGTTCTTTGTGGTCATGGAGCACTGCCTGAAACATGGCTTAAAAGGTGTGGCCTCCCAGAGTGAGGGAGAGGGTGCACGGTGTGTGAAGAGGGCCAGCTGGGCATTGAGGGGAGCCGGGGAGCGCCTTCCTGGCGAGTTACCCCAGGGGGTTCTCTCTCTCTCTCTGTCTCTCTCTCTATGTCTCTTTTTCTGTCTCTCTCTCCCTCCCTCCCTCTCTCCCTCCTACTGTCTGTCTCTCTGTCTCTGCCATTGTCTCTCTCTTTGTCTGTCTCTCTTTCTGTCTCTGTTTGCATATCAGTTTATGGTTACTATCTTTAAAGCCCAGTGCTTAGCTCTCTTGGGGAATAAAGCCCCGTTTTTAGCTGCATAAAATTAACCGTGGCAACATTCTATAATAGGATTGAGGGGCTAGAAGGGAGGGCACCTAGTCCCACTTCCTCATTTTACAGCTGGTGAACTAAAACGTGGAGGAGGTGTGGTGACTTACTGAGGGTCACACATTTAGTAAGCAGTAAAGATGAGATTTGAACTCAAATCCTGACTCTGAACCCAGTGTTCTTTCCATACTCTCACTCCTGTAAAGTGGCGTGGTGGATAAATTGCTGGACTTGGAGTTAGTAGAAAACCTGAATTCAAATCCTGCACCTCCTAGCTGTGTGACTCTAGGCAAGTCCCTTAAATGCTCTGTGCCTCAGTTTCCTCTTCTGTAAAATGGGGATAGTAATAATAGCAATTCCTTCACAGGGTTACTGTGGTGATCAAATGAGATCATGTTTGTAAAGGGCTTTGCAAGCCTTAAAATACTATAGAATCCTTTTTGTTGTTCAGTTTCACTCATGTTTGACCCCCATTTGGGGTGTTTCTGGCATTTTTTTCCCATTTCATTCTCCAACTCATTTTACGGATGAGGAAACTGAGGCAAACAGGGTTAAAAGTGACTTGGTCAGGGTCAGGCAGCTAGTAAATGCCTGAGGCCAGATTTGAACTCAGTTCTTCCTGACTCCAGGTCCAGCACCCTCTCCGCTGTGCCACCTAGCTGCCCATAGAAACTCTAGTTATTATTATCATTATTATTGTTAATAGGTTTAATTTCTCTTGAATGCTGACAAATTTAATGTTCAGAGGAATGAATTTCCCCTGTTCAAGTGTCTTGGTTAGAGACTGTAAGAGAACTCTTGGCCATCATAAGGACTACCTCCTGCATCACTGAAGACTTCCTTCACTTGTTGCACAGAACAGTTAAAAGTCTAACTTTGAACAGTTCTAAATTAAAAGACACTCTGTCACGAGGGACAGCATGACCTCTATCACTCAGCCACACCAGTAGGTCTAGCCCTGTGCCAGATGTCACGAGCAGTGCCCCATGGAGGAAGCTAGTTCCTCTTTCTGACTCCATTTCCTCGTGTATAAAATGAGGAGCTTAGACGGAATGATCACTGACATCTCTTTGACTCTGTAGTTAAGTAATATCATGTTAATCCCAAGGCTTTGAGGGCTCCAGACAAGATTCTGCTCCCAGATGAGCAGCCCCTGAATTGTACACAGGAGTGTGGGTGTCCATCTTTGAGTACTGCAGGCCAGTGACTCCAGTACCATGGACTACAGCTTAGTAAAGGGGTAGGGTACACTTAACACATTTGGACCTTTGTGCTATAATATAGTGGAACTCGCAATGAAATTTATTTTGAAGTTGTAAAATAAAAAATTTTATTGGATCATAGAGCCAGGGCTGAAAGAGACCATAGGCTAAGCCTTGAGTCAAACATGGGTACACCCAAAGTCAGTGCTCTTTCCACTTCTTCTTAATATGGTGTGTCAGGTTAAAATATATCTAAATCCTAGAAGTCAGTGCTCTTTCCACTTCTTCTTAATATGGTGTGTCAGGTTAAAAATATATCCAAATCCTAGAAAACTGCTATTCATCTGTTACCAAATAGAGGAGTAAACCAGACTTTTCTAAGGATTTTCGAGTCGGTAGCTTAGGAAGTATCTACTTCTAAAGTCATCAAACATTAATAACTCAACAAATAACATTTCTTTCTTTTACAATGATGGATTGTTTAATGGTGTTTGGAATTGTTTGTGTGTCCTCTAAAAACATGAAACAGATACCTTAGCAGAAATGTTCCTTCCAAAGCCATTGCTCCTTTTTAAGTTTTTTGTTGCCTTGATTTCATATGTATAATTAATATCATATTGCTTGCCTTCTCAGAGGGTGGGTTGGAGAGAGCCTGGAGGAAGGGAGAGAAATTGGAACTCAGTTTTTTTAAATGTTAAAAACTAGTAATCATTTTTTTAAAAGTCATGCTAATGACACCAAAAAAAATTTATTTTGCTGCTTAAAAGTGAATGACTGCATTTCCAAACTAAAGTGCAAAATCAAAGGAGTCTTATTTGGGAGCTTATGACTCATAAGTGGAAAAGATTTGTTGATGTAAATACTAGGAAAGAGAAAGTCACTTGATTGTTTAGGGTGACAGGACTAAGAAGACTTGAGATAGTAAACTAAGTATCAGAAATGACTAAAATTGAGGAAGAAGACTGAGTAGGATGATGGCCAAAGCTGCTAAAAATTGGCAATAGACCAATTTTAATTGTAATAATAATAATAGCTAATATTTATGTAGCACTTACTATGTGATAATGTACTAAATGCTTTCTAAATATTATTTCGTTTGATCCTCTCAACAATCTGGGGAGGTAGGTGCTATTATTTCCATTTTACAGATGAGGAAACTGAGGCAGACAGTGGCTAAGTGACTTGTAAGCTAGGAAGTGTCTTGAAGCCAGATTTGAATTCAGGTCTTCCTGATTCCAAGCTTTCCAGATACTGATTAAATCTCTTCATATCTTTGTCTCTGTCTCTTTTAACCTCTCTCTTCTTCCTTCTTTCTCTCTTCCCATACAAATAAATTACTGAATGTCTAAGTTAAACTTTGCCCCGTATCTCTGATATAAATAGCATGAGTAATTTTAGAAAGTTAACTCATTCTTTGGATTAGCTCCCCGAGAACAGTACTTGAGGCAAAAGGTACATGTTTAAAAAAAAAAAAACAACACAAAACTATTTTTTGTCTCTTTGTTTGCCTTAGCCAAGAAAACTTTTCTTGGGCAAAACAAATCCTTCTGGGGCCCGCTGGAACTGGTGGAGAAGCTTGTTCCTGAAGCCGGAGAGATAACAGCGAGTGTCAAAGATCTTCCAGGCCTTAGGTGAGTAAGAGATTGGATTGCAGCTTCCCAGATTAAATCTCTTGCTGTTCTCTCTCAGGCTATAAAGCAGGATGGTATCTGGTAATCACCACTACTCGGGATCATCACCCCCACCCGCCTAAGTGTTGAGTGCTTGGCATGACTAGGCACTGGTGGGGGAGATTGGTAATGTGCAGAATGAAAAACTGACTGCTACCTTTGAGGGAGAACTAGCATTCTAGCTCAGATAGATTCTCTTCATGTCAGACCCTCCGTACCATTTTATTTTGGGGTGGATTGTTGTTTAGAAACAGTGAGCTTTGGGAAATTGGAATTATAATGACGATTTCCTGGCTAATGAGAAGAATTAAGGATTATGTGGCTAGTAATCAACAGCAGAGAATTAAGAAGATGCAAAATTGTAGTTTAACAAAAAAAAAAAAAAAGGCTGGGCCATTCCAGGAAATAACACCTAAAACTTTCTCTTGGGTGGGCTTCCCGGGAGATAGGAATGGAGAACATGGTAGAGAAGCATAGCTCTCCCCAGCAAATATCTGAAGAAGAATCCAGAAAGACTATCGTGGGATAAAGAAATCTGAAAAGAAGCAGAAGGAAGCTTAAATGTCCACTCCAAAACCGAGCCTGAAAAGGACCAATGGGTCCAGGGAGAACCCTGCACCTAATTCAAGTAAATGAGGAAGCCCAGGAGTTGAAGAGGAACTGAGCCAAGGATGCCCGTGAGGTCTTTTGCAGATGGACCTGCAGCCAGCCCGCTAGCCCCTGAACACGGAACTGTCACACCCGTGTGGGCACCAGCAGTCAGGGACCTGCTATGCCCTGGTCTGTCAGAACATAAGCGTGGATTGGAGCCAGCCCCCATGGTTCATTGAATGGCAAAGTTGAGCCAAGCTGTGCACTTCTTACAGCGCTGAGAGCCAAGGAGGAGACAAGGCCAACTCCTTTACTGGGTGCTAGAGTCTAGCATACTGCTAGTGTGTGGAGGAGGGAAGGGGGATGGGTAGAAGGCGGAGAAGCATCGTAGGGATGGAAACTGTGCCAGGGGACCTGAGACCATTGTCACCAGACGAAATAAAACTGACTCCAGGGTGGACCGTGCAAGAAGGTGAAGCCCCATCGAGACTAAAGCCCAGACTAGATAACCAAGAGATTGATTCAGAAGCCAGGATTGAGGCAGAGGTTGGGGCCTGACACCAACCGTCCCATGCAGAGCCGTAGCAGCACCCTGAATGTAGGGGGAGCAGGACTCAACAAGCCTTAGACAATATATCCAAAATTTCAAGACAGGATTGGGCCAAGTGCAAAAACCCCGATCAGCTGAGACTGAAATCATGGATAAAAAGAGGAAAACAGTGGAAAAATATTGTGGGTTGAAAGAAACTCAAGAGGTAAACCCAGAAGAAGAGAGGAATCATGCAACAACCAGGAAACCTTCAGAGTTAAAAATGGATTGGCTGCAAAGACTACAAGAGTAATCACAAGAAAGAAAATGAGAGATCAAAAGAAAATTACGAATGAAATGAGTTGAGGAGGAAACAAAAGGAGAATAAATAGGAAGTACTCTATCCAAATGGTGGATTCCTTGAAAAATAGAATGGAGCATTCAGAATGCAGTGATTCCGTGAGACAACAGGAAATATTAAAACAAAATCAGAAGGTTAAAAAAAAGACGTAAGTTATTAGCTATAGAAAAACAACTGAACTGGAAAACAGGTTGAAGAGAAATAATTTTAAGAATTATCAGATCCTCTAAAAGCCATGACTAAACCAAAAATCTGAATTCAAAAAATCATGACTATTTCAAGAAGTCATAAAACTGCCCACATATATTAGAATCAGAGAACAAAGTGAAAATAGAATCTGCCTCCTGAAAGAATCTTCACACTGAAAATACCTGAGAATATCATATCCAAAATTCAGAGCTTCCCAATCAGAGAAAAAATACTGAGAACAGCCGGGGGGAAAAAAAGAGCTCACGCACAAAAGGATCACAGTCAGGATCACATAAGACTTAACAACAATTATGATGAAGGAGGAAGAAAAATCTTGTAAAGTGATATTTCAAAAGGCCAAAGGGAAGAGTTTGCAAAGCAATAGTAACTTACCCTGCAGAAGTAAGTAAAATCTCAGACGGGGATCATGAGATGGACCTTCTATAAAATACCAAACTTGAAAGCATTTTTGATGAAAAAAGCAGAACCAGGTAAAAATTGGGAATGCAAACTTGGGAGTCAAGGTAAACCTAGAAAGGCCAATACAGTTTGAAAAACTGGAAGAGCCAAAATATGGTGAAATACTGACATTTCACCAGAAGGAGAAGTGACAAGTGTCCCTTCAGAATGCTAATGTCTCCACCCAAAGAGTAAAATAGGACAGACACGGGGCCTGGGTGGTTTTTATTCTGGTTGGTTGTAAGAGAAGGAAAACATAAGAAAAGTAGGTGAGACATGAAGACTGGAAAAACTTAAAATTTCATACCAACGCAGCATGCTTAGGACAAGAATATGCAAGCACGAAGGGGTGGGCAGAGTGGGCATCTAATGGCATCGCTCTTATTTGAATCAAAAGGACTATTGATATCACTCTTCTATGAATCAGATAAAGGCAAGTAATAATACATACATAAATACATGAAGAGTTTGGTGTAAATAATATATTAGACTCAATAGCAAAGCAAACAAGGAGAGAAACAGAGTAAGTGGAGAATAGAATCAAGGAGGGTTTATTCACATATGCAACAGCCTTTAACTTCTGAGGGATGACCATAAAGTTGGTATTAAAAAGATAATTATCATATAAGAGTCAGAGATTGGAATCTGGGCTTGGTGAAAAAAAGGAGAGGCAGGAGTAGGAATAGGCCACTGTAATTATGGATCACTAGTATTGATTGGGGGCAGCTGGGTACGGCAGTGGATGGAGCGCTAGACTTGAAATCGGGAAGATCTGACTTCAAATCCAGCCTCAGATACTTAATAGCTGTGTGACCCTGGGCAAGTCACTTAAACCTTATTTGCCTCAGTTCCTCATCTGTAAAATGGAGATATATTGGAGGAGGAAATGGCAAACCACTCCAGTATCTTTGCCAAAAAAAACCCCATGGACAGAGTCAGAAGTGGCTGAACAATTGAACAACAACAAGGCATTAATTAGATTCCTTATCTTTCTTTACCTTCTTATTTAGGAATAGCTGTTGTGGGAGAAGGGGAGTCCATTATGGAGGGATAGTCATAGCAATGCACTTCATTGGGGTGGTCACCCGTAAAACAGGAGGGGAGCAGAGTCGGTTACAAAACAGAAAATACCAGTGTGTTATTGGTAAGAAACACCCTTGAAATCTAAAGAGTCAGAGCAATCAGATGAAGGGGTGGAGCCAAATTTATTATGCCTCAGAGAAATTAGCAGTCATATTCTCTCATAATGCCAGCATAGAATTAGACAGAGTTAAAAGATAAGGAGGGAAACTAACTTGTCTAAAGACACTATATGTGATGAAATAATGTCAGTATTTAATATTCATATGGATGTGCACATGCCCCCAAACATACTCAATACATGCTCAGTAAAAGCCACTAGAATTATAGGGAGAAGTAGACACCAAAGTTATAACAATTGAGGGTGACCAGTGTGCCTCTTCAGACTTAGACAAGTCTACCCAAAAATAATAGTATTAGAAAATCATCCCTTCCCCAGCCCTTCAGTTATCTGTAGTATCACATGGGGAGTAGAAACCATTTATCCTCTGTAGAATCCACCTGCTAGAGTGAGTCAGGATTGTAAGAGGGAGTCGCCAACCAATGTCACCCCAGGAATGCAAGATTGATTCACTATTAGGTAAACTATAAACATAACAGATCATATTAAGAACCAAAAAATGTAAGAGATGTAATTATATCAATAGATATTTTAAAAAATATTTTGACACGGTACAGTCCCAGATCTCAGACTCTATTACAAAGCAGTGCTGGTTTTTTTGGTACTGGTTAAAAAAAAACAAAAAACAGAAAAAATTGATCACGAGAGCAGATTAGGGAGACGACCCAGAAGCAGTCGGACATAGCAGCCTAGTGTTCAGTAAACCCAAGGATTTTGACTATTCAGGAACAAAACTCAGAAACTGCCCACAAAGCTAAAAAACAGTCTGTCAAGAATTTGGTTTAAACTTTCATCTCAAATCATGTAACAGAATAAATTCCAAGTGAACACATGATCTGGATATGAAATGTCATAAACAAATTAGAAGAGAAGGAAAGAAGAATATCTTTCATAATAATGGAGAGGGAAAGAGTTTTTGGCTGAATAAGGGGTAGAGATGTTCACAGAAGATTAAATAGACAGTTCTGTGAAAGTGTTCCCAGAAATAAAATGCAGTAAAAATTAGATGAAAACTTCTTTGTAGCAAATTTCTCAGATTAAAGTTTGATATCCAGACTATATATGGAGTTATATAAAAACAGAATCCATTCCCAAAAGATAAACAGTCAGATGTGAACAGGCAGCTCTCTAAAGGGAAAGGAAAAACAAGCCATGAACAGCCATTGGCCATAACGTTCCAGATCTCCAAATCCAAATTTGAGTAATAAGAGAACTGCAGATTTAGACAGTTCTGAGATTTGACTCTATCCCTATCGGATCAGTAAAAAATGATCAAAAACCAAAGCTAGCATTTGTTGATGGGGCTTTCACAGGACAGGCACACCAGTTCCCTGCTGAAGGAATTATGAAGTGATTCAGCCATCCTTGTGAGCAGTTTGGAGCTATCCCCAAAAAGTCATCACACAGTATGTACATAGAGTTTTATCCCAAGGAAATAAAAAGACAATGACCCACGTCTCCAGAAATGTCTATTGAAGCGCTTTTATTGTGTCCAAGAATTCCAGACTAAGGAGGTGCCCATCATTTGGAGAATGGCTGAACAAACTGTGGTTTATGAATGTAATGATACATTATTGTACTGTAAGAAATGATGGAAGAGATAGATTCAGAGAAACCTGGGAAGATTTCTATGAGCTAATGCAAAGTGAATTGAGCAGAATCCGAAGACTACAATATTGTAAAGGAAAACAGCTGTGAAAGACTTAACACAAATCAGTTCAGTGACCAGTTGTGATTCCTAGAAGCCTAGAGATGAGAGGTATTGGATTCTCAAATGCAGAATGAGACATAAGTTTTCAGATGGACAGGACCTGTGTGTGTGTGTGTGTGCGTGCACGCGCTTATTTGTGACAAGGCAGAGATTTTATTTTTGTGTTTGGTTCAGCTATAATGACTCTAAAATGAAAAAAAAAGAAAAAGTGTGATGTCCCTTAAAATAATCAGAAAATAGCAGAAAGACCTTTAGAAGGTGACGCCAGATGAACAGGGGAGGTGCTGGAACTAATATGTTAAATTTGAAACATTCAAAAATAATTGTAGTGTGGGCACCCTTTTTTTCCTCTTCTTTGTATAGAGAAATATTTCTATTTCTTGGTGTTTGTCCATGTCATAATAATAAAAAAGACAATTTTAGAATATTCTCTAAGACTTGTTAAGGGGGAATGGCAAATCTGCTATAAAGTTAGAGTTGATTTGATTTTTGGAGGGTTTGGGGTTGATGGTCCAGGGGGTATTGTTGATCACCTGCCCATTCCGTGCTGAATGTCTTAGCTCTCCCCTAGTAACTTGTGGTCAGACATTTGCAGCTAACATTCAAGGAGGTCTCTTTGTGCAAATCTAGGAGGAAAATTCTCCTCTAGGTCATTTGGTGGAAACCACAGAGAGAAGCGTTCTGCAGATAGAATGCTGCCCTGCAGAGGCTTCTGCCTGGAATCACTGAGGTCAGGCTCCCAGAGGACTGAATGGTAACATACCTCTCACCTTGCTTTTACCTGTCCTTTAGGACGCCTGTGGGCAGAGGGAGAGCCTGGCTCCGCTTGGCATTGATGCAGAAGAAGCTCTCGGAATACATGAAAGCCCTGATCAATAAGAAGGAACTTCTCAGGTGAGCGCCACATAATGGAGAGCTTTGATCCTTCCCGGGGAACTTCAGACCTGAAAGAAAGAGATTTGTAATTTCCACTCGCAACATGCCTGGCATTCTTTGGTGTATAGAAAGGCATTTGGTCTCTCAAACAAAACTGAATGCTATGTAATTATAATGACCTAACTAGGCTGTGGTGAAGAGTTGAGAAAGTAAAACTCCTTCCCTTCTTGGCAGGCTTAGGGGACTCTGGGTGTGTAATATCGCATATACTGTCAAATATGGTTGCTCTGTTGGTTGATTTCACTAAAACGCTTTTTCCCCCCTATTTATTTCTTTTGTTCATTCTTTCTCTTTTCTTCCCTCCCTCTTTCTCTTTCCCTTCCGTCCTTTGTTCTTTTTCTTTCTTTCTTTATTTCTTTCCTTCCTTCCTTCTTTCTTTCCTCATCTAGGCCTTCCCTGTGCCAGTGAAATAAAAAAATCCATCCAATCCCTATCTTCATCCCTTGTAAGGGATAGCTTAATGGCTAGGGAGTAGGGGAAGAACATATTTTTAAATGAAGGTTGTATAAAAACCAAAGATCAATAGAAAAGACTTGAAAAAAACAAACTTGTCCATCCCAGACTTCTCACCTTAGAACAAGGAAGGCTTTTGAACCATTCATTGCATAGGTGGTGCTTGGCAGTGACTCATAGTAAGAAGACTTTCAAGAATCTGAGAAAACCAGGCAACTGAGAGAACATTAGGAGAGTATTAAGAACTGAGCAGAGACTTATTTAGGCCACTGAACAGAGCAGCCTGGTACAGGTGGGGTGCAGAGCCTGGGCTTAGATATGCTTCTTCCTTGCTGTCACCACTACCAGGCGCCAGGTTCAGCCAAACTTGGAAAACCCAAGCCCATTCACCACACCCCGCCTTCCACTTAATGGAGGGATGGAAGTATTCTACTGCATAGTGCATTGTTTTGAGTTGAATCAAGGGGAGGATCCATCTATAGATCTCCAGGAATGAGCTTCTTCGATACCCTTTCTACACCTTCCTTCACCTGGGATCATTCTCCACCATTTGAGTCAACAAATATTTATACAGTGGTTTACTGTGTGCTAATGACTTAGGGGTCAAAAGAACAATGACCTTTCCTAGTTTTTGTAAAAAAAAACAAAACAAAACAAAACTAACTGTATAATTATGGAAGAAAGACTTAACCCTGGGGCAGCTAGGTAGTGCAGTGGATAGAGCTCCAGCCTTGGAATCAGGAGGACCTGAGTTCAAGTCTGGCCTCAGACACTTGACACTTACTAGCTGTGTGACCCTGGGCAAGTCACTTAACCCCGATTGCCTCACCAGAAAGAAAAAAAAAGACTTAACCTCCACAAAACTGTTGATAGTGGTAGTATATGATTCACGTCATAAGTGCGATAGGAATTCAGAAGCTGGATGTGAGCCCTGGAGCAGATCACCCATCAGTGGCAGACCAGGGATTAGTCTCTTGACTTTGGGGCATCGTTGACCAAGTGTAAGTTCCAAGCTAGATGACCTCTTTTTAAGATGCTTGGCTTGGCCACATTTCTCTGTTCTCTATAACTGTGTCTCATGAAAAAAAATGAATTCTATACAGTGGTCAACAATGATGTCAGGTAGGTAGGACAGAGCCAAGATTTCTTAGCTTTTGAAGGCAAGAATGCTGACGCTGGTGTCCTCCATTTCTGAATGTGTGGATCACCCAGGTTTGGAGGAGAGTTACTGGGAGAACAGAAAGATCATAGAGCCAGGATGCTTCAAGTTTCCTTTGATATACAGAGTGAAAATAGCTTGTCCTTTCACTGGTGGAGGAGCTGTTTGTTTATCCAGCTTAGAGCTCAGCCATGCCCTTCGTTCCATCTCCCTTTGCCTTTCAGAAATTTCTCAACTTGCTGAGGGAGAATCACTAAGCGAAAGGAACAGAAGGAAAAATCAGATCTAGTCCAGTTTATATCATCTCTGCACAGATTAAAACAATTAGATGAAATGAAGTGTTCAGATACAACAATATACCTTTTTCTCGTTTAATTAAAGTTATAGAATTCTTGAGAAGTTCATGTGTGTGAGCCTTCTCCTGGGTTTGTCTTGCAGTGAATTCTATGAGCCCAATGCCCTGATGATGGAAGAGGAAGGGGCAATCATCGCTGGTTTGTTAGTGGGTCTGAACGTCATTGATGCTAATTTCTGCATGAAAGGAGAAGATTTGGACTCCCAGGTACGTAGCTACAGGCAGCCTTCACATCATTCTGGGTTAAATGATGCTCTCAGTATCTAAGTCAGCATGGTTCCACCAACCAAATTAAAGAAGAGTCTTATAAATGAGTTACAGTTAGGAGTCCTTTGATTAATTCTCTTGTGAATATAAGAGATAAGGGACTTTGCATAGACTCTAGATAGGGTCTTTTTTTTTTTAATGCCTTTGAAAAGCCAGCATTTGATACATGGTCTTCTCTCTCCTAATTATACTGCATTGCTATAAATCTTCCCCTCTGCTGAATGAAATGCTAGAGATGAATCACTGTCAAGTTTCACCCTGGGGGAAGGAGAATTCAGGGTTGGAGAAGGTGGAAAGAAAAAAGGTGGTATTTGAAAGTGAAGACAGAATACCTCTCTGACCTGAATTAAAAAGAAAGAAGCAGGATGAAAGAAAATGAGAATCTTTTTTTTCTTCAATTTTTTAACATTTTTATTTAAAGTTTTGAGTTCCAAATTCTGTCCCTCCCTCCCCCATCCCTGAGACGGTAAGCAATCAGATATAGGTTATACATGTGCAATTATGTAAAACATTTCCATGTTAGTAATTTGGTACAAGAAGACTCAAATAAAAGAAAAGATGAAAGAAAGAAAGTGAAAAATAGCATGCTTTAGTCTGTATTCAATCAGTATTAGTTCTTTCTCAGGAGGTGGATTGTATACTTCGTCATGAGTCCTTTGGGATTGTCTTGGACCATTGCATTGCTGGGAATAGCTAGGTCATTCACAGTTCTTCATTTAACAATATTGCTGTTACTGTGTACAATATTCTCCTAATTCTGTTCACTTCACTTTGCATCAGTTCATGTAAGTCTTTCCAGGTTTTTCAGAAATCATCCTGCTTGTCATTTCTTATAGCACAGTAATATCCCATTACAACCATATACCACAGCTTGTTTAGCCATTCCCCAGTTGATGGAAATCCTTACGGTTTCCAGTTCTTAGCCAGCACAAAAACAGTTGCTATAAATATTTTTGTACAAATATGTCCTTTTCCCTTTTTTGGATGTCTTTGGGATATAGACTTAGCAGTGGTATTGCTGGATCAAAGGGTATGCACAGTTTTATAGCCCTTTGGGCATAGTTCCAAATTGTTCTCCAGAATGGTTGGATCAGTTCACAACTCCACCAACAGTGCATTAGTGTTGCAGCTTTCCCACATTCCCTCTAACATCCAACATTTTCCTTTTGTCTCATATTAGTCACTTGATAGGTACGAGGTGATAACCTCAGAGTTGTTTTAATTTGCCTTTCTTTATCAATAGTGATTTAGAACATTTTTTCATATGGCTGTAGATAGCTTTGATTTCTTTGTCTGAAAACTGCCTGTTCATATCCTTTGACGACTTATCAATTGGAGAGTGACTTGTATTTTTATAAATTTGACTCGGTTCTCTACATATTTGAGAAATGAGGCCTTTATTAGAGATACTTGTTGAAATTTCCCCACAGTTTTCTGCTTTCCTTATAATCTTGGTTGCATTGGTTTTGTTTGTGCAAACCCTTTTTAATTTGTGTAATCAAAATTATCTATTTTATATTTTGTAATGCTCTATATATCTTCTTTGGTCTTAAATTCTTCCCTTATCCATAAATCTGACAGATAAAAAAAAAAGGGAGAGCATGGAATAGTTTAACTTTGAAAGTAGCATACTGAATTTACTATATCTTCATAAAAAACAGGTTATACATAATACAGATTGATGGTTTCATACAAAATTCTCTTTTTCTCTTCTACTTTGTATATGAGAATTTCATGCTCTCTTAATCTGTTTATGGCTTCACCTTTTATATGTAAATCATGCAGCCATTTTGACCTTATCTTGCATATAGTGTGGGATGTTGGTCAATACCTAGTTTCCGCCATACTGTTTTCTAATTGAGTTTTTGTTCCAAAAACTTGGATCTTTGGCTTTATCGTATACTAGATTACTACGGTGTAATTTGTACCTAATCTATTCCACTGATCCACCACTCTGTTTCTTAGCCAGATTTGTTTTGATGGTTACTGCTTTATAATATAGTTTGAGATCTGGTGTGGCTAGACCACCTTCTTTTTCAGAAAATGAGAATCTTAAAGAACATGGGATGGAGGTTGGGTTTGGTGAGAAGTGGGCTAAGAGGAACACTGAGCAAAGATCAAATCCACCTGACTTGATTTATCCTTCTACCCTCTTTTTTCATCTTTTTTGCTTAGAGAAGTTGCTTCTATATCAAACAAAATTCCAGTCCTCCTCAATCTAACTTTTTTTTTCTTTTTCTTAAAGCATCACAATGTTTATTGATAGATAATAAATATATATAATCCGGACAGGAGCATGACTTGATAAATTAGTTTATAAATTAATTTAAATTAATTAATTTTAGTACTAGGTAACATACCTTTTTCATCACAAATCACCATTCTCCATCATGCCAGGTGGTGCAGTAGATAGACCTGTGTCTGGAGTCAGGAAAACCTGAGTTCAAATCCTGCCTCAGACATTTACAAGATTTCTGTCCCTGGGCAACTCACTTTACTTCTGCCTGCTTCAGTTTCCTCTTCTATGACGTGGGGATAATGATAACTTATTCATTAAGGTTGTTGTAAGGATAAGATGAGATAATATTTGTGAAACACCTTTCAAACATGAGATAATGTTTGTAAAGCATTTTGCAAACTGAAAAGTGCCATGTAAATGTTGGCCTGATTCTTTCCTTTCTTGTCATCCCCCTAACTCCATTATTCAGTCAGTGGTCAGATTGTGGAAATTTTACCTTTTCTGTACTTGAAAGGTCACAACCCTACTTCAGGTCCTTATCACCTGCTGCCTGGACTACTGTGAAAGTCTCCTAATTGGTCTCCAGGCCTCCAGGCTTTCCTCTCTACCATCTGTCCTCCACAAGGCTACCAAATTGGTACTTCTGAAGTGCAGGACCTGCCATACCACTCTGTTGGTCAAGGGTACAGTCCAGACTATTGTGATTGGCTTTTAAAGCCTTTCATGCTGTGGTTCTCCTCATCTGCCTTTCTTACCTTATTGTAAAATGTCACGCCTGGTTATGCGCAAGCCAGGTGTTCCACCTTCTGTCTCTGTGTCTTTACTCAGGCGGTCCCTGTTATCAGGAATGTGTAGTCTGTCCCTCCTTGCTGCTACATCACAGAATCCCTATGTTTCCTTGAGGCTCAGTGAAGGTGCCACCTCCCCCAAAGGAACCCAGATTCCCCACCCTCTAGTTGCTTACCTAGATCTAGTGTGTTCTGTTTTTTCTTCCAATAGAATATAAGCTCTCTGAGGGCAAGTGCAGCTTCCTTTTTGTCTTTACATCCCTTGTACCTAGTCTAATTCCTAGCCTATTTTTTTAGAGTAGGTGTTTAATAAGTGCTTTCTGATTGAATGAGTGAATGACTAGCTAAAATTTTATGTTGTGAAACTTAGGACCTGTTTAGACAGGGGATGGTGAAACTCAAATTTCATATTAAATCTTGGAAATTATTCTTCTAGGTTGGAGTTATAGATTTTTCAATGTATCTCAAGGATGGAAACAGCACTAAAGGTAGTGAAGGGTAAGTAATACAAGGAAAAGTGGGTTTCCTTTTCCTGTTCTTAATTTTTTTGGTTGTTGGGAGTCCATGATAAAGGTGTGGTCAATCAGTTTCAAAATGATGGGCGTGGAAAGGGCAACCATGCCTGAACTCTTACTTAAAGGGCGTTGTTTATTTAAATCAGAGTCTTTTCAATCTTCGTGGTCTCAGAGAACCCTTTACGCTCTAAGAAATTATTAAGGACACCCCCCCCAAGCTTTTGTAGGGTATAGCTATTGATATTTACCATATTAGAAATATAAATGTTTTAGGATTATTATGAAAATAGTTTTGATCTTTAGGAGTCCTGAAAATTTCTGGAGTCCCTGGCCACGCTTAGAGAGTCACTGACTTAAAAAGATTTGTTCACTCAGTGGATTGTAGCTTCTTCTCAATCTCATAAAACAGTGCCCATCGCTTTTATTATTAAAGTCTAATCACAAATTAATAAGTCTATGATTAGACTTGTTCAAATATACATTCTGCAGCATAGAAATAGATCAAAAATAGAGGCAATACGTCCAGCTCATAAATGAATAGATGTGGAACAATTACAAAGATGTTTTTCATCCTGGTTGGGATAGCTCTTTATTGTGGTACTCCCTGTTAGAGCTAAGAAGCATTTCCATCCTAGTGGAAAAGCCTTCAACCCAAGATTCTGGAGAGCTGGGTTCTGATTATGACCCAGGTGTGATCTTCTGTAAATCGTCTCACTTTTCTGGTTTTCATTCCTAAAATGAGATGGATGGATGATGGGCTCCAGGGTCTCTTTCCTATTATTCTGCAGTGGTCATCCTGTAGTTTGGGAAAGTCATGTGATACTCTGTTTCTCTGAATTAAAATCTGGACCTGTGTACTTTTGTACATGTTGGAATACTTAGGTCTTAGAAAAAAAGATTTTTTTCAGCTCCCTAGTTCTTTCTCCTCCTATTGTCCATAGAGATTTTACATGATCATACCACCTAAAGCTGGAAGGGAACTTAGAGATAATCTGTTGCATGTACATTTTTCATTTTCTGGGTAAGAAAACTGAGTTCCAGAGAGTTTAAGGGATTTGACCAAAGCAAGCAGGTTGTACATGTCAAAGCCAGAATGTGAACCAGTACTCAAATCCATTGGGAGATTTAATCCATTTTTAAATTGTAGTGACTTGGGGATTTGTATGTGTGGCAGAAATAGTGTACAAACATCATCAGAAATGCAAGATACGCAGATTTAAAGACATCTCCACTCCAGATGTTCATAGGGACCGTCTGTGCCTGACCTGTGGTGGAGCCTTCCTAGCTTATATTGATCTTCTCAGCCACAGTCGGATGCACTGTACCTGGACCCCAACATAGTGATATCACGTTGTTCCTTTCTGATTGCCAAGGACAACGTTCATCATGCCATTACAGTAAATGATGACCTTGAAAAAATCACATAACCCTGTTGTATCCTGAATGCCAACCATAGTGTCTAGCACATAGTAGGTATTTACTAAATGTTTGTGTATGGATTGATTGATTGGATAAAATGGAATAGACCCTGTTACACCTGGGAAATGGACTGTAATTAAATCGTGTCTTGGGGCTGTCAGGATGGAAAGCCGTATTTGCTAGGCAGAAGCAGTTCGGTTAAAGAATTAAGGAATATTTCCCTTGTACCAACTAACAACTCACATGGTTCGAGTTTTTAAGCCTGTAGAAAGACTTTATGAATTGTGGGCATGCCATGTGTGGAAACTCCCTTTCATCAGTATCGACTTTTCTATAAATAGCTGTGGCCACACAGAGACTGGACCTGAGCCCAGGTCTTGGTGCTGGCTCCATGCTTAAGGCACGTAAGGCAGCCAGGCTGCCTAGCTCACTGGACCTACAAGGGCATTGCATCCTAGCACCCAGCTCCCTTTTCTGGACCTGTTTCTGGGTCATGATCCTGATTTTTTGTTTTGTGAAAAGGAGGGAGGGGAATCATCACTCTTGGATCATTAAGTATTTATTATATATAATATTTATTATATTATTAAGAAATCTTCATTTCTTTTTTCCCAGAGATGGCCAAATTACTGCGATTTTGGATCAGAAGAACTATGTAGAAGAACTTAACAGACATTTGAAGTAAATAATGAATAAATAATATTACCTTAACCTAAATTTTAATAACGGGAAGAGAACAGAGGGAAAGGGAAGATAATTGGCTGAAAGGTACTAGAGATGGGTCGTGCCCCATTTCCAGGTGCTCCAGCCAAAAGCATTTCCAGTTGTTGGTAATCTCTCCAAAGGGCTCTCAGTTTAAATGTGCTTCAGCAGTACCAGGAATAGACCCAGCCCAGTCCAGGGGGAGTCTTTTTCCCCCTTTGGTTACAGGGTTTTTAAGCAGTTTAAATATTGACTGCCTGGAAACACTCCCCATGCCCAATCAGTTCCTTAGTCTTCCTATTTCTGCCTCCAAAATATCTCCCACATTCATCCCCCCTTTTTTCTCTATTCAGATAGCTACCACCATAGTCCAGGCCCTCATCACTCGGTGCTTAGACAATTCTAGCGGCCTTCTCATTGGTCTCCCTTCCTCAAGCCTTAGCCCTGCTCCACAAAGCAGCCAAACTGATTTTCCAGACATTCAAGAGTGAGCATGTCACTCAGTAACCCTAAAGGTTCCAGTATAAACTCTTCATTTGGCTTTTTCATCCCATCACAGTCCGGCTCCAACCTAGTGCTACAACTTTTTGGTATAGATGTTACTCTTTTCATGCACTCTTCTGGTCCAGCTCAACTGTGTTGTTGCTGTTCACTCATTTCAGTCACGCCCAACTCTTCATGACCCCATTTGGGGTTTTCTTGGCAAAGATACTGCAGAGGTTTGCCATTTCCTTCTCCAGCTCACTTTATAGATGAGGAACTGAGGCAAACAGGGTTAAGTGACTTGCCCAGGGTCACACAGCTAGCAAGTGTCTGAGGCTGTATTTGAATTCATGAAAATGAGTATTCCAGGGGCAGCTAGGTAGTTCAGTGGATAGAACTCAGGCCTTGAAGTCAAGAGGACCCGAGTTCAAATATGGCCTCAGACACTTGACACTTATTAGCTGTGTGACCCAGGGCAAGTCACTTAACCCCAATTGCCTCACCAGAAAGCAAAAAAAAAAAAAAAAAAAAAGAAAGAAAAATGAGTCTTCCCGACTCCAGGCCACCAGTGTATCTACTATACCACCTGGCTCCCTCCCACCCAGCTGTCCTCTATGCTGTTTCTCAAACCCTGTATCTCCCTTCCCTGCCTTTGCATAGGCTTTCCACCCAATGCCTGGAATAATAGCTAACTTTTGGAATAATATCACCCTTGGAGGTTTGCAAAAGCTCTTTACCTCTATGGATCTCACTTTTTCTGCCTCCCAGACTCTCTAGTCTCCTTCAAACAAAGTCCAAGCACTACCTTTTCTACCTGAGGCTTTTTCTCACCCCTGCCCCAACCCCCACACCCGGCTGTTAGTGCTTTGCCCTCCCAAAATTACTTTGTGTTTAGTTAATTTTGGAATATATATCTGAATATACTTTAAAATGCATGTCTTGTCTATCCTGATAGAATATAATCCCCTTGAAGGGACTGGTTAATTTTTTTCCCTTGTATCCTTAGTACCTAGCACATAATAGGAATTTAGTAAATGCTTATTATTGGGTTGATCATCTATTTTTTGTAATTGTCACTGTTGGAACTAAGTCCGCCTGGCATTGTTGTTTTGCCCCAACTCTGGATTTGTCAAATAAATTCATGTGTGGTTTACCTGGTGTTTTCAAGGGATTATTAAGAATGTGAAGATATATGACTTAAGCAATTGACCAAGGAGGAGAGAAGCCTTTTCTTTCAGTGGGTCAAGTAATTTAGTTCCTTGGAGATTTATACACAGTTATTCACTTTTGGGTCAATTACTTTGTCTCTTTGTCCTTTCACGGTCCTCCATCTTTACTTGTGGACTATAGTAACCATCCAATCCATCAACATCATCATTAGTGTTCCCCATGGGTATATACTTCCAGTACTTGGTGCTTTGTAAAACTGTAGGTGGCCAAAGCATCATTAGTGCTAAATACAGACTTGATTTAATAAATGCTGAATAGGGTAGTTGGTTGGATATTTTGGGGGACTTTTGATAAAAGAATACTTTTTATGCATTTGTGGAAACCTAAAGTGGTTGTCGTGGGGGTGGGGGTGGGAGGATAGTAAATGGGGGAGGGGAGAGAGACCAGCTATACCAAACAGGAGCAGTTATAAGTAATCAATTATAGGGTCTTAATGGAGTTTCATTGTGTCCCCCTACTACATTATATTCTCTGTGAGGGTAGGGACCAATCTCTTATTCATCACCCGCATTACTATGCACACTAATATGCAGTCATCATCCTCATTGAATTCATGTTGAATGAAAGGATGATAATTTGTTAAATTAGATTCAGTACTTCCTTTATAACTTTCATTATGTCCCAATATTGAGTAACCTGTATCTCCACTAGGGTTTCTTGGAGAATATTATCCTTAAAGACAAATTTCTTACAAATAATCATTACAAATCTCAGTTCAAGCTAAGAGAGGATGATAGTTATTAGTGGAAAATGTAAGCAGGATCTTACTAATGACTTTATTGATCATTCTTCCCTGACATTCGTTGATTGCATTGTAATAGACTTCAGTAGAATGTTTAAGTTCAGTGTTGAATAATAAAATCATGCTTGCTGATTGATGATAACTATCTTTCAAATAATACCATTCAAATGTGCTTTTTTTTTTTTTTTTTTTTTTTTTCCGTTTGACAGTGCAACAGTAAACAACCTTCAGGCCAAAGTGGATGCCTTAGAAAAGTCTAACACTAAGCTGACCGAGGAGGTAGGTGTGGTAAGGCATTTCTGGGGTGGTTGGGTTGAAGCATTTCTAAGCTTCCCAGGCCTTGGTGTGCGGTAATTACCAGACACAGGTGATTCTTCTTGGCTCCAACTTAGATTCACTCTCCTTTTGTTGAGAATTTTGAGTTTGTGGAACTTAGGAACACCTGCCCTCCCAGACCCCATTCAGTCTTAATTTTTCAATCTAAGAAAACACATGTAGATTCTAGATGGAGCGTGTGATAGTTTTATCAATTGGCTCTTGTGTAGAGTGGCTGGTCAAGTTGAGGACATTGCTGATTGTATTTATGAGGCTGCTGTGTTCATGCCAAGGAGAGAGGTGCTGGTAATTTATTTTGACTTTCATGCGAGATTGATCCAACATTGTTTATGCTGAATCAGTACTTTTGGTCAGACTATTATTACATGAGTAATAGTAAGAGTAGTTGACATTGAACTTTAGAAGCCTTTCCTATCACTTAGTCATTAAACTCACACACCCAGCTGGCTTTATTATCAAAACTCTTTGGCGAGATAACTTGGAGCTGCCCAATGAAATCACTGAAGGGTATTCAAGTGGGTTGACATCAACTATGCCATGCACCAAACTTGATGGTCTTTCGGGTACCATCTTTCTTTCAATGCAAATAACAGTAGAAAAGTACTTCCAGTCTTAACTGTGTGAACTGGGGGAGGGGGAGATGTGAGGGGGAGATCAGCAAAAAGCTCCTATGCCTGATTTTGTCTGTGATTTTATGCAGAAGGGGAATTCAAAAGGTACTTTCCAAGGCTGGGAAGAAAAAAAAAATACCCCAAAACCATGCCTAGTCTTCATTTTGAAGACTAAGTCAAGACTTTGGCCAGTCCCATGCTTTATTAATTAAGGCATGGGGAAATACATATTTCAAATGCAAAGTTCTCTGCTCCTAGACTTAGCATTATGGAATAATTAATTATCCAGTGAGATGTAAAACTATTTTGGGTGAGATGATTTCCTCATTAGGTCCTTATGATTTGTTGGGGAAGGAGGAAAGGAAACAGATTAAGAACAAAAACTCATCTGAGGTCATTGGAAATGATGAAGCCCCTTCTAGTCTCAGTTTTTCACTTCCCTAACAAAAGAAGAAAACAGCGTGGTTTGCAGATTTTTTTAACTTCTTAAAACTGTCCAAACAAATTACAAACTAGCATATAGTTAACATTACAGATTGGATTTTTTTCCTGAGGCGAAATTAAAGTAGAAAGCAGTTTATTACAAGTTAAATACATTTCAAGATTATATTTAAACTATATCTATAAAAAGAAACATGCGAACATAGCGAGAAGGAAAACCTTCCCCAACCCCGTTTCCGTTCCTCTCCCCCTCCTGGGGCAGAAGCAAGAAAGTTGGTTTTGTTCCTTCATCCCCTTCAGTCCAGTTGCAGATTCTTCTGCCTTTAGCCATGTTTTCCTTCCTAGAAGAACTTAAATTAGTTGCAGGCTTGTGTCTTAGAAATTCTGATTTTAAAAACATTTAATTTAATTTAAAAATTAAAAAAAGGAAATTCAGATGGTGCAGAGAATTTAAGAGACACAAGTTATGCTCCAACTAATCCCAGCATTCAAACCTATTTAATGAATGTGTTGATGTTTCCCCCGTTCTTTAGTCACTGAATCGCTTCCGGACCGGTCGTGTCCTGTGCTATGTTCTTTTAAGCCCTGGGGGTTATACAGTGACACAGGAATGCCAGAAAATACTGGCTCTGTTCATCTGGTTGAGCAAACCCGAATCATCAAGGAAGTCCTGACTGCTATTCTTCCGCTAAATTGTAAAGAAAAGTTAATTATCCATAATGGAGATATATTTTTCACACAATCAGGACAGCTGCTAAGAATTTGACTTCACCTTCCACGAGAGGAGCAGGAGAGAAAAGAAGGATTTGAGCAGAATGAGAAGGAAATTGTGTTGGTGATTTTGAAGGGTTTGGACCGGTGGAAGAGGCGACAGGTTGGTTTGGGAGAGGACACTTAGAAAGCTCTCCCAATGCAGATACTGGTCTAGATTCCACTTCTGGGTCTTAGGAAAGGGGGTGGAGGAGCAAAATCAAGTCTTAATGAGCTTTGGTTCATTAAGTCTTGATAAGAATCATTAAAAACTTAATGAAAATTGGGGCAGCTAGGTGGCTCAGTGGATAGAGCACTGGCCCTGGAGCCAGGAGGACCTGATTTTTCAAATCTGGCCTCAGGCACATAACACTAGCTGTGTGACCCTGGGCAAGTCACTTAACTCTATTGCCTAGCCAAAGAAAAAAAAAGAAAAGACTTAACGAAAATCAAGGTTGATTAAGAAGGAAGGCTCAGGAAGTTAAAACATATGGTAGTTTTCAAGAAAAGGCAAGGTAAGAGAGAAAAGATACGGTGGAGTGGTTAAGGCTTTGCATGTTATCTTCCCCCATTAGATTGTAAGCTCCTTGAGGGCAGGGGCTATCTTTTGCCTCCTTTTATATTCCCAGCATTTAGCAAAGTACCTCCCACGTAACAAGCTCTTAATAAATCTTGATTGATTGATTGATTGATAGAGTGAATGGGTAGTTAGGTCAGATTGGCAAAATTGACCAGTGCAAGACAAATGGATTGCAGCTGTGGAGATGTTGAGACTAAGGAAATAAAGTTGAGCGAGTTTGTCGTTGTCGGCTCTGGTAACAAATGACCAAAGAGTCACAGAGGTTTTACAATCATGGTTAACTCCAAAATACCAAAGAGCTCACACAGGTTAAGAGCAAAAAGCCTTCTTTATTCCACTGGGGGAGAGAAATTAGACACACATGTCAGGGCCTCATCTAGTAGGAGAGCAGAGGCAGTGAAGCTAAACCTTGACTTATATATTTGTGGCTAGACAAAGAAGCAAACATCGTAGTATAGAAGGGAAGGGATCTTTGCTTGGTGTAGGTGGGACAGTGCTGGCCAACGACAGAGATGGCCGAGTTCCCTGATTTTTGTCATGCTCCTTGTTTTCTTTGCTAAGGAGAACGACCTTCAGAATTCAGAAAGATCCTGGTTGCCCAGAACGTTGGACCCAATCTAATGTGATGAAATTCAGTAAGGGTAAATGTACTTGTGTGCCCAGAAAGTCATCTTCACAGGTACAAAATGGAAGAGTCACAATTAGGAAGCAGCTTATCTGGGGGGAAAAAAAAGCAAAAAACACTGGGGTTTTGAGAGGACTGGAAGTCCTATGAGTCAGCGGAGTGATGTGCCAGCTAAAATGGCTAATTCAATCATGCGCTGCATTAAAAGGGTCAGCTTACAGGAATAAGGAGATGATCAGCCACTGTACTCTGGACAGGCCTCGTCTCGAGGACTGTGTAAGAAGAACGTTGAGAACTAGGGAGAGTGGCCATTTCATATGAATAGAGCAATGGGTTTGCAATCAGGACGACACATTTGCACGAATTCAAATCCAACCTCAGACACTTACTAGCAATGTGTCCCTGAGTAAGTCACTTAACCCTTGTTTGCCTTAACTGTAAAATGATGTGGTGAAGGAAATGGCAAACCACATCAGCATCTCTGCTAAGAAAACCCCAAAATGGAGTCACGACTGAAAGATGACTGAACAGCAGCAGTAAGGGTGAGTTGACAGAACTGAGGATGCTTAGCCAGGAGAAGAGAAGAGTCAGGGAGGGACGTGAGAATTGTCTTGAAGCGTTTGAAGGACCCCCTTGTGGAAGGTGGTTTGGACTGACTTTGTTTGCTGCTGCCCTTTGCTTATGGATGTAGCGTCTACACTGTATTTAATCATGTCTTCAAAAAGGACCCTGGACAGTATACTGTCATTCTGAATCAGCGTGTCTTAGGCAGAATTTCCTGTCTTTTCCTAAAATAAAAAAGCAAGGGGAAAAGAAAGCTTTTTTCTCTCTAATTTTAATTTCTTTTTACTTGAAAATCAAGCCTGTGCTATAAATTACTCCTAAGACATGGTTAGAGGATTTTCTGAGTATTTTATATGAGTGATACCCAAATCAGTGTTTTTTATAATCCTACTTCTAAAATGTGACTTTACTTCCCACCCCCTACCTCACTCATTCTAACTGGATAAATTTCACTGAAATCCAATCAGTTCAAGTTGACCATTTGTCTAGTGTACTGTAGAGAGCATCTTTGTTAAGATACAGGTTGGACTAGATGTCCGCTGAGGTCTGTACCAACCCTGACATTCATGTTTCTCACCATCCCCTCTATTTGGACTTCACCCCATACTCCTCTTCCTTGTCCGGATCTCCTCCACCCTGGTCGTATTCTATAAATGAACTTCCTTACGCTGATGTAGAGTTTGACTGATGGATTAAACGCTCCTTAAATTTTCTTTTGAATTTTCCTTGGTGGCCTCTGTTTTTACCTTCATTTACAAATGTCTTCTCCCTCCTTTCAAAGGAGATATTTGTAAAGCACTAAGCACGGTGCCTGGTGCTTAATGAATACTACTCCCTGTCTCCTTCCTTTAACCAGAGAATATGCAGTGTTCCTCATTCATAGCTTCCCACCTTTACAAAGAAAATGAGTTGATTGTGTACTCTTTCTTGATGAGCAGAATAGTGTTATTTTTAAGCCCCCATATGATTTTGTTACTTAATCCCTCAGGACCCTAGTATCTTCCTCTGCAGAAGAAAAGTGTTGGACTTTGGGGACCTCTGATGGCCCGTTTAGTTATAAATCTGTGATCCTAACATAGGATCTTGGGATATGAATTATAATCATGTAATATGAGAATGTTCATATCAACTTTTCATAGACATCTTAGTTGTGACAAGACTGATTTATAGGAGCTCAGTCTCAGAAGATTTTGAGAAAATTCTTTATAGATAAATCAGAAAACAATATTTTTATATAAAACTGCTTCAACCAATGAGAATAAGTGCTCATTATGTCTATAAATTCCAAGTATCCAAGACGTGCATAGTGCATAAATTACAGATTTATTTGCAGTGAAATCAGCAGCAGACTGAGTAAACAGTACTGGTATTGGTGTTTCTCAGGATGATTTATTTTGTTTAATGCGAATACATCTTAACATTCTTTTATAAGAGGTTTAAAACAATGATCTCTGAAATTCTTTTCACTTATCTCTGCATCCGTTTTAGTTGGATGAATGTCAATAAATTAAATCAGTTTAAATTTCATATTTAAATCTTTTTAAAGTAATTTTATTCATCTCCTTTTTCCTTTTATTGCTACTTAAAAAAAAAATACATCGACAGGCTAGGCAGCATTCCATCCCAGTTGTTTACTGTGTCTCTACCAAGAAGAGGGAATGGTGTTTCATCAATTTCCTCTGGAATGTTGATGATTGTATTTAAGCTGAGCTGAAGAACCTTTTTGTATTGTTTTTATTTATATTACTGTAAAGTACACATGAGACCTTTCTGTCACTGACATATTTGAGTTCTATTCTCAGTAGTGAGGCTACTGGGTCAAAGGGTATGCATGATTTTTTTTCTTCTTTCCTGAATTTGGGACCAATTCATAGACTCATCTTCCCCTTCACTGGCTGTTTTTGCCTTTTTGGTTTTTTTTTTAAGTCTCTTTGGTGGGTGTGAGTTAGTACAGTTGAAAGAGGATGGGATTTGGAGTCAAAGGACCTAGGTTCACATCCCAGCTCTGCCACGTACTTCCTGTGTGACCTTGGAGAAGTTACTCAGCTTCTCTGGGCCTCAGTGTCTTCATCGATAAGATGAAGAGTTTGGATTAGGTAATCTCTGATGGCCCTTCCATGTCTAAATCTATGATCCCATGAGGTGAAATTTCAGAACTGTTTTCTTTTGCCATTTCTCTTATTACTTAAGTGATTGGAATAGTTTGCATGTGTTTGTGTTGTCGTTACTGATAATTGGAAAGAAGTTCTTGGAAACTTCTTTGCCCATGCCCTTGGACTGCTTAACTGTTGAGACAGGCTCTTGGTTTTATATATTTGTGCTTCTCTTTAGAGCTTGGTTATCAGGCTTTTACCAGAGATATTTGTAGGAAAGACTTTTTTCCTCTTCTTATTTTAGTTGCCTTAATTTTCTTTGTGCAAATCTTTTAAATTTGTGATTTCCTTTATATCTTGTTTATAACCTGTTTGCAAAAACTATCTCCTTCTATTCTTGTTTGAATTGTTTATATAACATTTTCCCCTGAGGTTGCTTATCCATTTGGAGATTATTATACTGTATAGTATAAGATACTGGTCTAAACCTATTTGCTTCCAAATTCCTTTACAGAGTTCCTATGAGTTCTTATCAAATGAATCTTTGCTTTAGTAATTTGCATTTTTAGATTTATTGGACATTGCTTTGCTGTGATCGTTTATTTCTAGGCCTTGCTTATTTTACCTAGTCAGTTTCGTTGATCTATTTTTCTATTTTTTTTTATTCAATACCAGATAGATCTCATGGATGCCGCTTTATTTTTTAGTTTGCTATATGGTAATGTTAGACCCCTTTCATTCTTCCTTTTCATTATTTTCTTTGAGATTCTAGATGCTACTTTGAAATCACATATTCTAGTAACTTCCTTTTAAAAGTTCCTTATAGGGTTGAAAATAATTTTCTCCCACCCCTTATAATGAACAGATTACATCCCCTAAACATCCTGCCCTTTTCCCACTTGTGCTTCTTGGACATTGTTGGTACATTTGTTACAGAAGCCTTGTTTTTGTTTTAAATGGAACTAAGAATAGCACTTAGCTCTTATAAAATGCATACTACCTGCAAACATGATCATCACTCCAAAGGAAAGCAAATTAAGTGAACAGCAGGGAGCATCGCTACTGACTGTTCAGGTCATTAGATAATGTGAAGTTTGGTGGGAAGTGATACATAATTGATACCAATTATGAGTAGAAAATTAAATCCATAGAATATCTCGAATAGAGGCTAATTGGAAACTCCAAGAGTTTCATCAGTGATAAATGGTGAAGTATATGATCTTCAGAGGCTTTTAAGGTTTCAGGAGCACCATCAAATTTAATCTGTGTCCCACCAGACAATTGTTTGATTTCTTTCCCAGCTGGCAGTTGCCAACAACAGGGTCATCACACTGCAAGAAGAAATGGAACGTGTCAAAGAGGAAAGTTCCTACATATTGGAATCCAATAGAAAAGTGAGTAGCACTGTGGTGCCTGTGAAACAGACATAGATCCCTAGGCCTGCAAGGACCCCAGCACTGCCCAGACTTGAACAATCCAAATGGAATTAAGAACATGTGCGTTAAATTGATTTAAGCAGAAAAAAATTTTTATACTTAGTTGTAAGGGCTTAGCAGTTCCTGAAACATATTAGGTGCTTAATAAATGCTTATTGATTGATTGATTGATAAATGGGGAAGAATAAAACTATTCCCATGCTGTCAGTGATGCCAAAAAAAAAAAAATATCCTCAAGTGCTGTTGTAGAGCAATTTGCCTCTAGAAGTCCCCAATTTTTATCCGTTTTTGTGTCTATTTTTATTTTTTCTTCCATATCTACCCTATCAAATACTTGCTGTAATTTCTTACTACTTACATATTATATATTTATTATAATATTATTCATACATATTCATTACATATTACATATTCATTATGGTATATTCATTATATATTATATGTTCATTATAATAAAAATATGCTAACAGCCTTCCAAATTTTCAGAATTTTCTATGTATACTGTAGAAAAGCATCAAACCAAACTTGCTAGTGTGATTAAGTAATGAATAAACAAGTGCTGAGTAAAAGGTTGTCTAAAGGAAGAGGTGGAAAAGACCTGTGAACATAGTCTGCGATCCACGCAAAGGGCCTGGCCTCGGGCCGTATCACCTGTTGGAGCAGATATATTGAAAGTGGCAGAAAGGGATTCGCTTTCTTGGCTCTCTTGTGTTCTAGGTAGTTAGTGATGCCTTCAGGTGGATAAGGGAGGGGTTTCTGTGTGCCCTTTGGGCTTGGTTCATATTCCCGGCACAGCTTTGGAAGCCTGATTTGGAAACTTTTTTAATTTGACAAACTATCCTATGATCTAGAATGGCAAGAAAACTCTTTATCTCTTAAATATCGAAGAATATTGCTTTATTGGACTCTAAAAAGGGGAGTTCTTAACCATAAACTTTTTAAAGAAATTATTTTGAGAACTGTATTTCAATATAATTGGTTTCCTTTATAATACTATGTATTTTATTTTATGTATTTAAAACTATTATTCTGAGATGGGGTCATTGACTTGATCAGACTGCCAAAGAGGGAGTCAATTATACAAAAAAGTTTAAGAAGCCTCGTCCTAAATGTCTCACTTCCCCGAGTGTGATCTTTGCCATCATTAGAATGGAGGCTCCAGTGTGCACGCACTGGGTTGTTGATCTAAGGTTCTGAATGCTTGCTATTCTTTTAATGTCTACTGGTCCATTGATTTTTTTTTTTATTTCAAGGTCAACAAGCAAGACAGAACTGCAGATGGGCAGGCACTGAGTGAAGCCAGAAAACATCTGAAAGAGGAGACGCAATTACGACTGGTAAACCAAACTTGACTGTTTGACTTCAGCCTAGTGTTCATGTCTGACAGCTTACCCAGAGTCCTCTTGGATAGACCCAGACCTGGGAGGTCATCCATGGATCCTGTTTTTGTAGACTTTTTCAGATTTTGCCCTTTTTCTACTTTAATATAAAAGGGAAAGGAAAATCTGGTTGTAATATACATTAATAGGTCTATTAATGGCATTATATATTAAAATATATGCAAATGTGTATATATAATATATGGCATATATGTTATTACATATATTATACAGATGTATTTCAATATAATTGGTTTCCTTTGTAATCCTGTGTATTTTATTTTATGCATTTAATAACATTAATCTGAGAAGGGCCTATGAACTTCACCAGACTGCCAGACAGGTTAAGAATCCTTGACCTGTACACACACGTATATAAAACATTTTCTGTATCTATCTACAGGTATCTCTCTGTTCTGTCGGCCTATCTATATACACATTTGTATTTTATAACACGTGTAAGATATATTATCATGTATATATTATAGAGGTGGCTAGGTGGCATAGGGCAGAGCTTCTTAAACTGTGTGTTGTGAAATTTGGCAACAGTAAAAGATTCTGAATGTGCAACAACCAAAAATTAATTAAAAATCAAATGTGTAACGAATCCAAGGTGTTTTTGGCAGTGTTTGCCCGTGTTGTATTATACAACTTCACTGCAGCCTTGGTTCTGAACACAAAACATGTGCACTTTGCACTACACATGCCCTCGGGCCATGTAATGCCAACAAACACTTGCCATCAAATGTTGCTGAAACACAAAAAGGGGTCGCAAGTGGAACAAGTTTAAGAAGCCCTAGAATAGGAGATAGTGTCAGAAAGACCTGAGTTCAAATCTAGCCTTAGAACATTAACTGGGGGTCATAGGCAAGATACTTTTTTAAAAACTGAAATTAAAATTGTATTATGTTTAATAAATTACGTTACAGTTATATTTATAAAATTTTAATGTATTTTATAATATACAAATCTTAACGATGTGATAAGAATGACATAAGAGATTTTTGATTATTGATAAAAAAAATCTCTTGTAATTTTCATATTGATAACATCAGAACCTAATACACATAAAACAATAATGCTACTTGGCTACAAAAAAGCAATTGTTGTTTTTTTCCACCTGTATTAGAGTCTGCAGACCATTAAGTATAAAAGAAGAATAAGATAGCATTTGAGCAAGACACTTGATTAAATTCTCTATTTGCCTCAGTTTTTTCCCCCTGGTAAAATGAGGCTTCAAATAGCACCTGCTTCCCAGGGTGTTGTGAGAATCACATGAGATAATAATAGTAAAGTGCTTAGCACAAGGCCTGAAACATCTATGCTGAAAATTGCTTGTTTCCTTCTTTCCTGTATATGTATGTATATAATATACATATACATATATATGCACATGCACAGGATGTCCCAGAAGTCTTACTGCATAACTTTTACTTCTAGTTTTTAATTATACATATATATATAGTTTTTAATTATACTTATATATATGTAGTTTATATATATCTATCATACTTATATATATATACTATATATTATACTTATATAGTTTATATATAATCTAGTTTTTAATTATACTTATATATTTATATATTTATTTTAATATATTATATCAACTAAGTATTAATATTTAATGTATATTTTAATAATTATAACTTATTTTAATTATATTTATATATACTTAATGCTTTTAGCTATACTTAATAATTTTCTTATAGCTTTTAATAGCTTAAAACTGCATTAAAATTTTTGAGACACCATATGTATCTACATGTAGATGTGGATATAAATGTAGATATCATATTTTGCCATAGACACAGAGTGTCTATGTACATATGCAGAAATTTGTACCAAAAGAAACAGTTCAGTTTTACAAAGCTCTTATCCATAGTTGATAAAGGTTTTTCAGTTAACCACAACAACATTCTTGTTCACCCTGTTCTCAGAAAACATAGCCCCTAATTCAGTGTAAGTTTTTAAACTTGTCAGTTCATTTGAATTCAGCAGATACCTGCTGGGTCCTTATTATGCCCCTAGAACCATAGGATATGATTCACACACCATCCTTGTGTTCCCATCTAGCCAGCGAGAGAAGCCCTCACTACCAGTGGCTCATAATTTAAGCTCTAATGTGAAAACACAGAAGGAAAACTACAGCATTGTATGAAGGTTCAGGGTGGGGTGAGGTCAGGTCCTGGTGGGGGCCCTACAAAGCTTCATGAAGAGCATGGTTTCAGAGTTAGGTCAGAAGAATGAGATGAACCAGGATAGTCTTACTGGGAACACTACCAAGAATGAAAATTATTTTTAAAAATAGGTCTCCTTTGACCACATGCTCAAGTACTACCAACCTGTAGCCAGCGATTTCTTTGGATTCCATTTGGCTATTGCAAGATGAATGCCTAGTACAAAGAGGGTTTTTATAATCTCGTGCTCATTTTTCAAGGATCTGCCTCTCCCTTTACCTGCATTGGGCCTATTTGGTTCCTTTTCCGTTATTTGCCTTGGGCTTAATTCCTTTACTTTTCTGGCAGGACGTGGAGAAGGAATTGGAGATGCAGATCAGTATGAGGCAGGAGATGGAGCTGGCCATGAAGATGCTGGAGAAAGACGTGTGCGAGAAGCAAGATGCCCTCGTTTCTCTGCGCCAGCAGCTAGATGATCTCAGGGCCCTCAAACACGAGCTTTCCTTTAAGCTGCAGGTGAGGGAGGGGCTCTCCAAGGAATGGAACTGCCCGTGTACGGAAACCTGTCATCTTTGGAAATTGTACTAGAAGTCCTGGTCTGGCTTCTTATTATGAGTTATGAAGGAAAGCCTGGGTTTCCACTAGGAGGCCGGCCCTTTGGAAATTTTAGTAATTATCAGACTCCTGTATTACTCAAAAACTAGAGTCATGACCACTTTTTAAACCCAGGCAGGGAAAACCCCATCTAACCCCATCTCTGTTTTTTTGCTGCATTTTTCCCTTCTTCCTCCACAAAATCTTTCACATTCATCCATCCTCTTCTCATCCTTCATACAGCCACTGCCCTCAGTCAGGTGCTCGTCACCTCTTTGTTGGGCTATTGTAACTGCCTCTTTGTTGGACTCCATGATTCAAGTTTCATCCTCTACGCAGCCAGCATGCTGCTTTTCCTAAAGTGTAAATCTGACCATTGATATTCCCCTCCTCCATAAACTCTAGTGGCCTGTAGGATTAAACACAGACTGCTCTGATTCTTCTTGACCTGGTTACAGCCTGTCTTTCCAACCTTATTTTACATGCATAGTGTGAGCCAGCTAGTCTGGCCTTCTTGCCATTCCCCATCCACAGAGCTCCATCTGGGTCTTTGGCCTGGCTGCTCCACATGCCTAGAATGAGCTTTCTTCTCAACCTCTGCCCCTTAAGAATCCCTTTTCTCCTTCAAGGTTCAAGACCCAGCTCAAGTCCCACCTTCTAAATAAGATCTCTCCATATCCTCCCCGTTGCTAATCCCTCTCCCTTTTCCACCAGGTACCTAATCACCCCACCGGTCTCCCCTGCCTAGGAGAGCCAACCAGCAAACAATAGGCACTTAACGTGCTTAATAGATTATGTCTTTGATTTTTCTTTTTAGTTTATCTTTTGTTTATGTATCACTTTTATTTCTATATAGACTCCTTTCTGACCTTCACCAAAGGTCCCTTGTAATAAAAAAACAAGAAAAGCACTTGAGAAAAAGTTAACCAATACATCTTAACAATTTGGGTAATATATCACACAATTTGTCTCTCACCACTAAAAATATGAGAAATGTGTTTTTTCCTCTTATCTAGGATCAAGTTGGTCATTTTAGTTGCATTGTTTTTTATTTATTCTTTGCATTTTATTGTTGGAATCATCATGGATATGGCTTCCAGGTTCTTCTTTCTCCACCCTGTATCAGTTCATAAAAGTCTTTAGGTGCTTCATTGTGTCCTTTGTAATCATTTTTTATATTGCAGTAACGCTTTTTCACATTCATATTTGTTTAGCCATTGCCCCAACTAATGTGCATGTTCTTGGCTTCCACTCCTATGCTACTGCAAAAAGTGCTTTTTAGCACTATTTCAGTCTATATTTGATTGAATATTTAATGTTTCTCATGGTGAACTTACCACTCGTAAGAAGAGACCTGGTTTCTACTTCTCCTGTAGTCATTCAGTCCAAAAGGCATATTTGATTTATTTGCTAGTGTTTTACTTTCCATAGAGCTTTTCTTTTTTAATTCTTTTTCTGTTCTTTTTTAAATTAACAGAGTTCAGATTTGGGAGTCAAACAAAAAAGTGAATTGAACAGTCGCTTGGAGGAGAAGACCAATCAGATGGCTGCTACTATTAAACAACTGGAACAGAGGTAAAAGTGATTTTTCTTTAACAAAATACCCTGGGGTCATTGGTTGGGTTAGTGAAGGCTGTGTGCTTCAAATAGATGATTGCTTAGCCATTGTTTTCCCAAAGAACTGGAGAAAGGAATACAACAGGCCCTTTCCAGGGTGAGAATTCTGGTTGATTGCTAAGTCAGGTATCTGTCAGATGATTAAACCAAAGAAAGCAAGATAACAAGCCTAAGGTTTATTTGTGCCTTTTCCAAGATGTTTTACTGAAAACATTCTTAAGAAACTGTGTCCATGGGTTTTCTCTACATTAGAGTTAATAGTAGTATTAATTCGTGGGATGACTTTCACTTACCTGCACTTGTTTCAATGAACCAAAGCTTCTAACAGTGATGAAAGTAATGATTAACATTTAGAGAAGTTTGAAATTTTATCCATATGAAAATCATAAAGATAAATAATAATATCTGTAGTCTGCGGGAGTAAATTAGTTCTCACGTAGCAGAATGTCTTATGGTTTGTCCCGTTATTAAGTCAACGAGCAGCTAAGTCTGCAGCTCAGTTTAAGAAACTAAATGACTGCCTGTGTTACCGGCCAGTATGTGTCAGAGCTGGGTGTGAATCTCGGCTTTCCTCGCTCTTTGGCCCATGCTCTAAACCATGCCATTGTTGCCTCTCCAGCTCTGTAATCGTGAGATACGCTGGTAGTGTTAAGCAGCGATACTGAGAGAAAGCTGACTGTTAAACATTCTTAAACATTCTTTACATTTCTTTGAGTAAAACGGTCACCAACTTGAACCCTAGAGCAGTGGTCTCCAGATATTTCTGATAAAAATAAATTTTAAAAAATTTTGTGCATGCACCTTTAATTATATGTATGATTATTTATAAGTTTACAATTAGACATGCACGGTTACACAAATACATACTTTTTAAATGTACAAAAATAGAAATTTTAAAAGGATGAGAGAGAGATGAATTGAACATGAGCGGTACCAAAAAAACTAATTTGTTCTCACTAAAAATATTAATGGCAATATATTTTAGCTAGAGCAGCGTGGTTGAATGTGTTGAATACGAAATCTTAGTTTAACACTATGATATGCAGCAGTTTGATAGTCAGGTTCGAAGTTCAGCTCATAGTTTTAATGGCTGTTATACCTGAAAAAAAGACAGACAGACAGAGCTCAAAAACGTAACATAGATTCAAGTAGAAGTACATGTTAAGCTGATGCTGATTTTGTGATAAAATCCACCAATCACATACAAGCATTAGTTGAAATTTAGCTCGTTAATTTCTGTTACCCCTCTTGTCAATCAGTTGTTTTCACAGACTGATTGGAAGGTGCGACTTTTTTTAATATTTTTTTAACAAATGAGTTCAAAATCCACCCTTTTTGGGGGACACTTGCAAACTGGTTAGAGAATTAGGTTTTCTTATATTTTTCAGTGTGCATCTATGAGGTTTTTTTATAGGTGACACATTTTAACCACAGAGCTTAATTTTAAAGCATTTTTCTAATCGTCATAGCTTCATTCTATCAATCATTAATATCTCAAGTCACAATATTCTCTTCTAGTGAGGTTCATTGTTAACAGTAATTGTTATAAATCTGTAGTTCAAATAATCTTTATAATTCTGAAATTTTTGTCTGACCTTGTCTAATAACATTGTTCTCATAATATGTCTAATATCATAAATTCACTTAACATGGGTAATGAGGTTTCCTACACTCATTTGTAGGTCACCTCTTAGTTCTGACTCCTTACCATGTGTTACTTAACTCATTACCACCTCCTACTTGAGTCATTATCATATTCATTACTAAATTGTAACAACTCCATCAGTTAATAATTACCTTAGGACCTTCACTCCCGTTTGTTAACTATTGTTTATTTAACAAACTGGAGAAATTTCTTTCCCCATAAGCAGCTGTACATCTCTGTCTATAAAAACCCCATGTCTTAGAATTAAATAACTATTAACGCTACTATCTCTATAATTTATTAACTAGGTAATCACTACAAAAATAGAAATATTTACAATGTCGTCACTGTGAGAATGATCACAGCTAGCGTGACTTCTCATTACTTTAACTGCTAGAAGTAGTTTCTCCTTTCTTCTGGAAACACAGTTCTACCATTCAGTTCCCTCAAGATACCAAGTAAACAAAATGTCTTAAGAATCTTTTTCATCCTCTTAGAAATGTAAAGGTAAATATAGTTTTATCAGGAAAGAAAATGCTTCCATCTTCTTTTTTCTGTATTCTCCAGCTGTTTTCTAAACATGACAGGAGGTTTCCTCGGTTTCTTGCAAGCCATCACTCTGAACAGATTTTTCAGACTGACCATTCAAACTGCTATTTCTATAATAGTCCATTTTATTCTTAAAGATAAGTAACAATATCTCTGGGCTTTGGGAGTGAATCAACTCTCATGTTGCAAAATGTCACAGTATACCAGAGTCAAATAAAATTTATGAACCATTAACAATCCCTTTTGCCTGTGGAAATCTCACTCATCCTACCCGCTACCTTGTACGCTATTCATAAAACACAACCACCTGACATACAAACTGAGTAGGGTCACTAGGATCAATATGTTAAATATTTGTAAAGTATTTTGAGGGTTTTTTTGTCCTTTTAAATTAAAAAAATAGAAGTTCTAACATTTTCTTTCCCACGCCCCAGTGGGTTGCCTTGTTTATCCCCACTTTGGAGACCACTGATTTAAATAGCATTAGTATGGATTTAATAGTTCCAGATTGGTAGAGAAATTTGAAGTACATAATGTCAGTAGCATGGAGATCATCATTGGAACTGAACGCCGACCGGCAACGTGCTTCTGGATGTGATTTTTAACCGGATTGATTTTTTAGTGTCTTATAGCCTTGAATTATTGCATCCTACCAATTTTGGTCTGGTATGTAGCAGATAAAGCTGAATAACAAGAGCATTTCCATCTAACACTAAGCTGACTCGATCTTTTCTCTCTTTCCTTTTTTTTTTTTTTTTTTGTCCATTTTCATATTCCCTTTTATCTTCCACTTTCATTATGATTTCTTCCTAATCCAGCGAAAAGGATTTGGTGAAACAGGCAAAAACCTTAAATTGTGCAGCCAGTAAGCTGATCCCAAAGCATCATTAGGAATTTTGCAGCTGGTCACCTCACAACTCTCACAACACAACTTAGTTGCAAAAGAGGGAAATTGGAGAATTTGTTATAAGTTCAAACTTGGAGCTCCTGTGTAAAAATGTCATCCAAACTTGACTTGGGATTTGTTGAATTTTTTAAAATCTTTTGGGTTGGGTTTTCTTTCTCTTCTTTTTTTTTTCCAGAATTAGAAAATTTGGTATAAGTTCCCTGATTATTTGTCAATAAACTTTGTTAAACGACATCTGAGTTGGCCAGTAAATAAACACACCATTGGAAAAAAAAAACCAACCCAACGAGATAAGGCATAAGGATCTAGAGGTTGTATGTATACTGTTGATGCATATCACCGACATCACAGTCTCTAATGTTGTCAGACCCTGGGTGCAGAGTTCACGTCACGGTGTGGCGGGCCAGGTCATGGACAACCAGACTCATCTTCTCTGTTCTCCCATCACATTATTTGTCGTGAAAGAAGAGATGGAGAATTTGGAGCCTTGGGTGTTTCCGAGACTAGTTGTGTGTGTGCGTGTGTGTGTGTGTGTGTGTGTGTGTGTGTGTGTGTGTGTGTGTGTGTCCTAGATCATTCTACCTAAGCTTTTTGTTCATCACGTTTAATCGAGTAAGAATAAGATATCTCACCACAGTCTGTCCTCCATAACTAAGACTGCTCGCAACTCTTTTGCCTTAGTGACTTAAAACAAAATAAACGAAAGCATCCTTAACATTCCTTTCCAGTGCATAGAGACAAGCTATAATAGCTTAGGTGTCTTAGAGTAACATGAACCATGGAAATTTCAATAAGCCCCTTTTTACCTTTGCATCACCTTCTACCTCTCTTCCCTCTAGAAACTACAGCAGTTTTTCCTTTCTTTGGGAATCCCACAGAGGCACTATTGTACCAGAACCCTCCTCTTCCAGGAAAGGGATAGGCTGTAGACTCTCTCTGCTATTTCTCCTGTGGTCAGGAGGACCATTGTAGCCTCGTGGAGGGCCATGAATACACCAGTCCTTGTCTCAGAGTAGCCGGCAAATTATAAGGGGAAATGACATCGCTGCCTTTCAGTCAGATATTTCTTACGTTTTTGCTTTTGAGTTTCTGTCACCTAACAAAAATAGGAATTTGCTGGGGTTCCTGGCAAACTAACAAAAGACCATTAACGTGTTAGGCAAACATTTCAGATGTTAACACAGGAAAGAGTTAGGGGAACTGCAGAGTTTTAACACTAAATGGCATTTTTAAAAATTTATTAACTGGGAATAGGGGTAGAGGCAGGAGGAATGCCCCCCAACCCCTAGTAGTTTTCCATAAGGAACATTAAGAGGTCTCTTCTATCTAATGTTACAAAGAGACCATAGACCAAGGCCCTTTCTTGGATTTAGGTTGTAAATAATCCTATAAATAAATTGCTTTGAGAAATGTGGTTTGAGTTCTGGGGTGGGCTTTTCGTAAGCGTTTTATTCCTTCAGAAGGTATTGGTGACATTTTTCTTAGCCTGGTTTTGCTGAATGTAGAGTGAGAGATTTAAAGAGCTGGAGTACAAAAGAGGCCCTCATTTCGAGCATTTCAGCTCCCTTTGGGGACTGGTAGAAGGCTCTTTTATGTCCTAATGTTCTGGCGTGTACCTTTTCACAAGGTATCCCATGGGCATAAACTGGTGGTCAAGCCTATTGAAGGGGAAGGATCCTCTCGGGGAGAGAGAACTTTGGTCGAGAATTGGTTTTATTTTATCCCTGTAATTTTACTTAGATGATACAATAATACTCATTTCCTCAGTTGTCCTCTTCAGGCTTTTGTGGTGGTGAATTTAAATTAGTCTCGGTTTGAGATATATAGTGTGTTTGGGGGAGTGGAGGCAAGGAGGGGAGGGTGTGGGAAACTGCAGACGACGCATGACCCTCCCAAGGTCACAGGCATCGTGCTCAGCTGGTCTCTGTAGAGCCTCTCTGATAGCTCTCCTTAGGCAGTGCAGTATGGGTGCAAGATCGTAGGCAATGGAGAGTGAAAGGCTTCATCGGAGGGTCCAGAGAGGCTAGGCTTGCGTGTACTCTCCAAGGGGTGAAAAGAGGCCTTTCCTCCTGAGTGGAAGAACAAGTTTCCTGACAGATCTTTTCTTTATAGAATTATCTCAGAGCCTGGTAGGTGTTTTGCCATAGAATGGCCAGTGAAGTTAAGCCAAGGTGTGATGATTGGGGTGGGGGTGGGGGGAGTGTATAAGGAGGGCTGCCCGGTGTTGCGAGTTCTGATTACACATGTAAAGCTGAAATGTAACATAGAACCATATTAGAAAATAAATTAAAAAATGGATTTGACTTTACTGTGTATTTGAGGTTTGCTTTGGATATGGATTTTTAAAAAGTGATGTTTTGTTGTTGAACATCTAATGGCTGTAAAATGTAGTAATAGAATAAAAAAAATCCTTGGAAAATCGGCTCCTCTTCTGCCTGGTTCACCTACATCTTGCTTTCTTCAGAATGTTTTTTCGTCTTCCCCGTTGTTTTATTTTCTTTTTTACCCATGACTTATGCTTTGTTCCCTTCTGTGACTCCTGACCTCGGTCCGTCCATCTGTCTTTCTCTCTCTCTCTTTCCCCCTTCTCCATCTCCTCTCCTCTCTCCCCCTCCCCCAGTCTCTTTCTCTCTCCCTCCCTCTCCCATCCCCCCCATTTCTCCCCCTTTTTCTGTCTCCTCTCTTCTCTTTATTTTCTTCTCCTCTCCCCCTCCTCCCCCTCTCCCTTTCCCTTTCCCCTCTTCCCTCTCTCCTCTTGGTCTCTGGGTTGGTTTTTTTTTTTTAATTTTGTGGTCTGTGCTTGGTCTTCCTCCCCACCGTGGCTTTTGTTTTTTATCTAAGTTCATGTGGCTCACATCCAGATTGCGCCAGGCTGAGCGAGGCCGCCAGTCTGCTGAGGAAGACAACCGCCTTTTCAAGCAGGACTTTGGGGACAAGATCAACAGTTTGCAGCTGGAGGTGGAGGCACTCCTCAGGCAGCGGTGAAGAGAGGGGTCTGGAGTCACGGGGTGGAAGGGTGGTCTTTGGGAAGTCAATAGCAAGGCAGTGGGAGGCGGGGAGGGGGTGGCGTGGGCTGCAGCCTACTTGGGAGATCCGTGGAGGGTCTTTCTCCAAGTTCAGAAGACTTGAGCATTCTTTGTTCATCTAGCCTCCAGCCAGCATCATTGGAAAGCAAAGACAGATGAGGAAACACGGGCAAAGAATAGTCAAGTTATTTACGTTCCTAGAACCGAAAACCTGTCAGAGATATTCTTGGGAAGCCAGTGGGAGTCTAAGTTTCTGACTCTGGCCAGTGCTACAAACTACACAGTAATTGGGGCTACTTGGTATATAGTTGTCTTGGGGAGCAATTCCTTTAAGAAGAAGTTCTTTTAATGGTATGAAGTGGGGCTCTGGGTACAATATTTTCTCACCACAGACACTGAAAAGGTCTACATGCTGTTATCGGAGGGCTTCTTAACCTTTTTCTGTGTCATGATCCCATCTCCCCAACTGGGCAGTGTGGTGAAGCCTCTAGACCTCTTCTCAGAATATTTTTTATATTGCAAAAAATAAAATACATAGAATAACAAAAGAAACCAATCATAGTGAGATGCAGTGATTAAAATAATTTGAAAGGTCATAGACACCAGAAGGACTGGAAATTTAAGAATGTCTCAAAGGACTGAATTTCATCCATTAACACAGCGCTTTTTTTTTAATCTATAAGAATCCAAAGAAAATAGAGATAGTAGGATGAAGGTTTTATTACAAAGTAAAACTATAATATTTTTGCATCAAATCACAGATCTGTTCTATCTATTGTTAATACCCTTTGAGTCATAAGCTCTTTTACGTGCATTTTAGGAACCTTAAAGTCTGAGCCCTCAGCATTTTCTAGCCCATGTTAATGTTCAGTGGTAACCCTGAAGCCCTTTGAGATCCAGAAGTAGCTTTTGAATCCTTAAAGAAAGATTAAATTATGTTCAGTAATGGTTTCCTATTAATTGTGTTGTATAGCAGTTTCTCACAGATCTACTGTGACATGTCTCTGATCACTTTTTACTCACTTAGAATCTATGATTAGACAAAACCAGTTAATGTCAAGTTTGTTGTACTGATCAAATTTGAGAGAAAGAGTCGGTACACTTTTTCTGAGACGAATTTTTTTTAGTCTAAATCCTTGGACACACTTGAATTAATTGGTTTATTCCCTGTGCCCTGAAGGATAAATTTCTCACTTTAAGGAGAAATATGTTCATTTTTAAACTATGTGGATGTTAGAGGGGGATGTCTCTTTTTCATTGTAGAAAAACAGAGGGAAAAGTTTTGGGGTTTTTTTTTGTTGTTGTTAGGTGAACAAGATTTTTAAATAATCCTTAGGTTTGGGGTTTTTTTCGACGGGTACCCCTTGTCAAGGTGCAGGAATCCAGTCTTCTCAGCCTAATCCGTTTCTCCTTTTCTACCAGGGGCCAGCTTGAGCTTGAGCTGAAACGGGAAAGAGAAAGAAGATTACAAAATAGTCAGCGTGCTCCAGAGAAAACCCCACCAAAGCCAGAACCCAAAATGGTAATACCTGTAGTGATAGCCTCATCTTTTAGCTCTTTAACCATGTAAGGTTAACCTTTAACAACCTCTCAGTGAGGAGTGGGGGAGTCCAGGCAGAGGAGGGGGTGGCTTGCAGTGTGCCTAGTCAGTGTCACCAACTTTTCTCTTATGGCCTTGAGTATGAAGAGAGCACAGACAAGTTATCCATCTCTTAGGCCCATCTTTCAGAATCTTCCCATGGAGGATTATCCCATTGCTGTGTGTGTCCTTCTTTCTGTCATGAAGCTGGAGATGCTCTGGAACCTTCAAAGAGAGTGAACCTGTTCCTTTGGAGCATTTAGAGATCTGTGTCTTCAGCAGAGTAGTATTTATTTTCTTTCCCCAAAGTGTGATCCATTTTTAAAAACATGTTGTATTAGGTTAGGAAGAAGTACTCTGTGCCCTTACTCCTCCAGACAGATCTAAAAAAAAATTCACTGTACTAAATTCTTTTCAGGAAATCCAAGAAAAAAAATCACAGTGAGTCATTTTCTCAAATCAGTTTGGCATAAAATAGAGAGGTCTGCCTACACAGGGAATGGGGATTGCCACAAAGAGTGTTCCGGAAAATGGAGAGAACCAGGTCAAGAAGTGGTCCCAGGTCCAGCATCCTGGGTCACTGATCCAGGGAGGGCTTGCATCCGGGGCTGTCATTCCAGAATGAGGAAAGGCTGGGAGCACTAGGTTGTATACTGAGTAAGGAACAAGTTTGGAAAAAAACAGCAGCTGTGTGGTTTGGGCTCTAAGGGCAAAACTCAAAGGTCTCAGTTCAGCTTCTAGCTCTGGAATAATGAGGGCAGGAATTCCAGATTAAAGGGGAGCCTACAGTTCTGTCACTGATCAGTGCCTGAGTCCAGCAGCAGTCTACTGGAACTCCCAATGGAGCAAGCCCACAGGTCTTTGCTCAGACCCAAACCCAGATCAGGAACTGGTAGAGCTCAGACCAGGAGGGCAGAAATCAGACTTTGCCCTGGATCAAACCACTCAGAGAACACTGAAAACTTGCAAGCCCCCGGCCTGAGCTGTCCTGAGATACTGGAATAACACAGTACTCAATACTCCAGGAAAACACCAGAAAGACAAGGCCAGACTTTTCCTCCAGAAGTGAATGTAGCTTGCCCCTGATATAAAATCTGAAGTCAGGAAGAGTGAGCAGACTGGAAAAAAAAAGATTCCCACCATAAAAAGCTATTATGGTCACTGGCACACTGAAGACACAAACTCAGAAGAAGAGAATGACTCTAAAACATTTACATGTAAAGCTTCAGAGGAAAACACAGCTTGGACACAAATTCAATTAGAATTCCTGGAAGAGATGAAGTGAGAATTTTTTAAAAGAGTTTAGAATATTTTATTAATGAAATGAGAATGCTAGAGAAAAATGAGAAAAGAAATGAGAGTTATGGAAGAGAGAATTGGAAGGGGAAAAGCTTGACCCTAGGGGTGCAAAATCTTCCCTGATCAGCAAACTCCCTAAGTATGAGAATGTGCCAAATAGACGTTAATGACTTCATGAAACAAATATTAAAATAAAGTCAAAAGACTGAAAAAAATGGGAGAAAATGTAAGCTATCCTCAAAACACAAACAACTCACTTGGAAAACAGATCAAGGAGAGATAATTTAAGAATCATTAGACTACTTGAAAGCCATGACCACATAAAAGCCTAGTCATCCTGTTTTAAGAAGTCATAAAAGAAAATCACCCAGATCTCTTAGAATCCACTAGTCGCCTCCTTAATGAAACCACAAGGTGAAAACTCTGAGGAACATGTTAGCCAAAATCCAGAGCTCCCCGGTCAAAGAACAGATGATGTCAGAGAGCCAGAGGAGCCGCAGTCAGGATCACACACTTTATCAGCCACCACTGTAAAAGACTCAGAGGGCTTGGGGAGTCAGTATTCCAAAAGGCAGAAGATAACAGCCTTGTTACAGGCAACAATAACTTACCCAACAAAACTGAATATTATCTCATACAGAAAAAAAAAAAATAGGTCTTTAATGGAATAGAGGAAATCCAAGAATTCCTGATGACAAGACCAGAGCTGCATAGAAACTTTGAAATGCAAACACAGTAGTCAGGACAACCTAAAATGGCAAGAATGAGCGAACGATCAAAAGTGACTGAACAGAGATAAACTGTTTGTATTCTAATATGTGGAGATGGTACATTTAGCCCCTCAAAACCCTATCATCATCAAGGCTCAGGGAGGGTGCCTAAGTAGACAGAGGGTTTGAGAGTGGTTCTGTTATATATTGATGATCTTGAAAAAATGGAAAGGATGAAGGAGAGGAATAATACATGAGGGTGAGAGAGGAAGGGTAGGAAAAATTCTCAGAATGTGCAAGTACAAAGGATATACAAATAGCGGTAGGAGGAGTGGGTGACATTTGAAATTTGGAAAAATGCACACACACACACACACACACACACACAAACACACAGAGCTGAGTACAGAAATACATTTCATTCAGCAGGGTAACAAGAAGGAAAAAGGAGAAGGGAGAAAAGTTACTAAAAGGGAGAATAGATTAAGAGGATGTATCCTAAGCAAAACAGACTCTAAGGATGCACAGAAATATTAAAGCAGGTTTTTTGTGGTGACAAAGAATTGGAAATTGGAGGTCTGCTCATCATTTAGGGAATGGCTGAACAAATTGTGGTATATGAAGGTGATGGAATACTATTGTGCTGGAAGAAAGATGAAGGGGATGGTTTCTGAAAAACCTGCGAAGACTTGTATGAATTGATGCAAAGTGAAGTGAGCAGAACCAGGAGAACATTATGCATGGTACTCGCAACATTGTAATGGTGATCAACCGCGAAAGACTGCAGAACTCAGAATAGCATCATGACTAACCATGATTCCAGAGGACTCATGACTGAACACTCTATCCACCTCCTGATAGAGAAGAGAAGAATTCAGAGTATGGATTAAAACACATTTTCTTTTGAGGTAGCCAATGCAGAAATATGTTTTGCTTAGGAATTTGTAACAAGTTAAAAGAAAAAGCCATAAGCCCTTAGGGGATAAAAAAAGAAGACGCTGACTTGCATTAAAAATTTCATACATGACCATAGAGCTCTATTTGGACATCTTTGTATCCAAATGCATAGCTCCCAAGGCCGGAGGCTACGTAGGTACCCCTGGGCATAGCCTTGCCTGTAGTCTCAACTCTTTTGCAAAAGAGCCCGTTGGAACTTTTTATTATTGATCCTTCATATTTATCAAAGGGGAAAAATCCCAGTTATGTAAGTATAAGAATCTGAAAGGGAAACAGGGCTATGGCAAATAGTTAGAACATTCTGTAGCATTATGAACAGATCACATGATACCTTCTCCATGGGGCCTTGCCTAACCCCTCAGCTGCTGCTGCTGCTGCTGCCTCTTCCTCCACTCCAATCCCCATGGCTTTGTAAATTGACTATGTACTCCCACTTACAGGTGTATGTGTTTTCTTCCTCAAAACAGCAGAAGCTCCATTGGGGTTGATTATTCATTTTTGTATTTGTAACAGAGAAACTGCCCTCAGTCAGAACAAACTGTGATAGAATAATTCCTCGGGATATTGCCATGGCTAAGCATAAAGTATAGATTGCTCCCTGCTCTGGACATCTCACCCTTGGAGGTTGGATTTCCACCCTAAACTTTTTCGATTCATATTCAGATTAAGGGCACGTAAGGGGAGAGTAAAGATTTGCGGCATCGCTATGTACTGTCCTGATTAATTGGTAAACTGGGCTATTTTCTTTTGGCAGGACGGGAAGCATAAAATCCAAGCGGAAAATGATAAACTAAAAAAGCCCGGGGAAGAAGGCCACACAATTCTCCCTACCAAGTATTGACTAAACTATAAAACTCTTGTTCAATGGGGGTTGGGGTGGGAGTGTCTGTTCATAGTTTTTCCTGGAGTAAGCCAGGAACTAACCTTTTTGTTAATGTTTATAAGCCAGAAAATCATTTTGGAGATGTGGGAAGTCAATAATAAACTCAAGAGAATGGCTTGAGCTGGTCCCTAGGACGTCACCTTCCCACCCTGGGGCCTCAGTGCTGGTACCAACCACCTCTTTACTGCCCTAGGGCACAAGAAGGCAACCTGTTTATACCCTCACTTTGCTTCTGGGCTTATTTTTGTGTCTGTCTCCAGAGAGCTCATCAAGGACTGGTAATAGGTGTCAGGATGGAACTTAGCAGGAGCAGTTGGGGCTTCTCCAGGTCAAAGGTCTTAGAGCCTACCATTTTTACTTACTAGAGAGGTGAAATGACTTGTCTGAGACACATAGCCAATGTAATCTGGAGTTAGTGAGGCAGGGCTTGAGCTGTGTGCCCCCTTCCCTCTTTTCTCTTTAGCTCTTTGAAATAGCTGGGCTACTTCTGTTCTCTTGGCTTTCCATCCCGTTCAACACTAAAAGGCATATCTGCACTGTCTTGGTGGGGCAGAGAGGGCAGGGGCAGCTTTTCATGTACTATGAAAAAGAAAACTTAGAAACTGTGATCGTGCTTTCTGGGAGCCCCTGGGCCAGTCATGAATATAAAAACAAGATATAAACATGAATATTGAATTCATGAATATGGATATTCATGAATATTGAATTC